TGACCCGCAGCTGCACACAGATGGGTGCGAGCCAGTAGAGGAAAGCCACGGGAGAGCGCTTTTTGTGTCCAAGGCTGCAGTGCTGTCTCACCTAACCCGTGTGCTCTGGGGCGGGGTCTAGGAAGCACTCATGGAGGAGTATGCCATCGCAGCCCAAGTGTGGAAGCTGAGCACATGCGACCTGTGTGAGATCGCCAGGAACAGCGTGCTGCAGAGCGGCCTCTCGCATCAGGTGAGTGTGATTGGCTGGCCCGTCCTTTCCCCCTCCATAAATGAGTACAGAGACCTCTGTGCACGGGGTACCTTCTAGGCACTGGGATAGGTGACAAGCTGAACAAGCCAAGTCTCAGAAGCCCTGACATTCAGGCTCCAGGAGAAACCTCAGGGGCCATCATGGCTGCCCCTCATCTACCTCAGACCTGCCCTCAGCCAGGCCTTCCCTGGCCGCCCTCCTCATTCCCCTTATTTTTCGCCATAGCATGCCACACTGCAGACACTGTGCCATGCATTTTCTTATGTGTTTTTCCGTTTCCCTTTTGAATGGAAGTTGAGAGCAGAGGCTTATTCCACGTTAAGTCCCCAGGCCCTAAAATAGTCCTGGCAAGAGCAGGCACACACGAGATTCGGCACTTCAGTATGGCTCCCTTAAGAACCAGATGTGGAACCAACACTGAGAACCTGGGCGTCTGCTCAGGGGATGTCAGCTGAACAGGAAGAGGGCTCTTACGGGGTCTTGGGAGATGACAGTTAAATGTCTAAGTGCCGTGTGAGTTGTTCTGGGATCCAGCCACTCCAGGAACACAGAACTGTCTGCCCACGTTACCTCTCAGGAGGGATTCCTCTTCTGCTTTCCACCCAGCATGGGCCTATGAGTTCTGTAATTCTCTCTCACAACAAAGGAGAGGAAGACCAAGTGGTCGGGATCATGACCCGGAGGTCTGGGGAGATTTGGAGTCCCACGGGAGGAAGATGTCCCCACTGAGGATCAGCTTCAGGGGCACTAGTTGTGTTGGGGTTCGTGTCAAAGCTGTCTGTGCGGATACAGGAATGAATCTGGTCTCACTTCTCTCTTTGGCCCACAGGAAAAACAGAAGTTTTTGGGACAGAACTATTACAAAGAAGGACCAGAGGGCAACGATATCCGAAAGACGAACGTGGCGCAGATCCGGATGGCCTTCCGCTACGAGACCCTGTGCAATGAGCTCAGCTTCCTGTCCGACGCCATGAAATCGGAGGAGATCACAGCCCTGACCAAATAGGCGCGGTGCACCACACACGCTCTCGCCTTTCGGTTTCAAGTCTGCTGGGGCTAATGGTGGCCAGGATCTCACTAGGGCTTTCGTCTGTGTCGAGGCTGCCTCTGAAGAAATCTCAAATCCTGATTTGGTTGCACTTTATAAACATGCCTATTCTGTTAGCATTTCTGAGCCAGACGCTGGCCACCTCCCGGGGGCGGGGGAGCGGGAGCCGGCACTTGTGTATACTTGTTCCTCGTTTTCCACGTCTCTCGTGTGATTGCAGTGTGTATATGGTTGGGCCCGAATGTCAAGTGACTTAGGCCGGTGTGGTATCCGCCATGCTCCTCTCAGCATCTGATTGGCTGGCTGCCTTACACCCCCTTCAAAGTTCCCTTTCATAAAGGGGCTACCTTGAGAAAAAATGAGGGTCTCCCGTTGATGATTTGTGCAGTTTTTTAAAATGGGGTTCATCATGTTTAGCACCCCGTTCCTTTCTCGTCAGGAAGCCTAGTGCACCCACTGATGCCGTCACTCCTGTTGTGTTAGTTCCCTCAGCTAGGACTCAGCAAGTCACCGCAAACCGAGCTCTGTGAAGCCATCCCATGGACCACTTCAGGGCTGGGGAAGATACAGCACGAGGTTCTGGGGCTGTTCACGCCATAGTTGCCTTTTAATGAAGGCCTCCGAAAAGCAGAGGACCAGAGGACCTCTGTTCCTTTTGATTCTAATATCCTATATTTGCGACTGCTACCACCTTCCCCCGGGAGTCAGAGCGGGGCAGTCAAACACTCTTAAGGACACACAGGGCCCTGATTGAGTCTTTTCCCTACTCTTCCTTTAGGCCTCACAAATGTTAGATTTTTTTAAAAAGTTACTTTAATATGGTGCATTTTATTTGAGAGCACAGATTTCTTCAGAAGCTATCATGGTCCCAGGGACCAGGTAGAAAAGTTTTTAATGTCAGTGTGGAGTTACACTTTGTCAGACCGCTCCTCTCTGTTACTAGTGCCTAGAACACAGTAGGTGCTCAATAAATGCATATGAAAGAATTAAACGACTTCCTCTTTTGGCATCTGTATGTGCAGAATACTCAACAATGTTCAGACTTTCCTAGCTATTCACAAGGCAGAAGTCCTTCTGGATCATTGTTAAATGAACCCAATTTTCCCTGGAAGATGTGTATTTGATTCTATCTCACCCTGTGACTGTCATTCTTCAGTGGCCACATAACCTATGGAGCCCTGTCATCCTTCTAGGCAAACCTCCTATCTTACATGGCTCACTAGGAAACTGAATGAAAGCCTGTCGACATCAGAGGGACTGTTTTTGAAAAGCCTCCATTTGTATACATTTGCCTAAACATAGTAAGTATTGTACCATTTTTTTCATTGTACCGATTACTTTTTTAAAAAAAAAACCTACAAATAAAGTCTCTTAGGACTATGACTCAGTGGAGCAAATATTTACTGCTTTAAGATGGGGTAGAGTGAAAAGCTGTGAGAAGTGGGGGGCATTCACGAGGAAAACTCTGAGCTTGCTGGCTTCTGCCCACCCCACGGCAGCAGGGCAGCACCTCGAGCTTTTCCCTGGTGCTGTCTTAGTCTGCTTGCCAGCATGTGCTGAGTCTTACATGTCCTGAAAGCTGCCGGGCTTCTTTTTCTCTAACACTATGTTTTATTACATTCTGTATTTCACTGACCCTCTTGGGGGTAGGGACGAATCCCTGCTTTTGCTTGCTTTACTTTGGAAGCAAAGGCAAGAGTAATGGAGCCAGGTTTCTAAGGGACAGATCCCATGCAATGCTCTCTGGCCAATTCCTAAGGGCAGATGGTGGCCTTATATCCTACTTAAGCCGTGCTGCTGAAAAGCGCCCTGCTTGGTCAATCTGCTCGCTTTGTCTGGAACGAAAGCAGGTTTGAGAGCGAGTCTAGCTCACCCAGTAGCTACTGCTTGCTGAGGGGTGGGCTCTTTCTCTGGGTCTAAACACAAACGGAGGTGACTGGTTGTGATGCACTTACTGTCCTATGCCTGCACCGTGACTGGAATGCCAACAAGAGGGACACAGCAAACAGCCACTGGGCTTCTGTGCTCTCACCTATAACGGACATTCTGTAGAAGACGATGAAGAGCTAAGCCTACAGAGTGGCATATTTATCAAAGTAGATTTGAGGAGGCTTTTGATACCAGTGTGCTCTTCTTCAAGTATGGTTGACGGGCCCCAGCGAACTCACCTATAAGCGGCCACCTCCTTCTGTCTTCCCTCTTGGGCACTGAGGCTTAAGGCACTTCTATAGTGATATTTTGTCTGTGCTTTAACAAATAAAGCTTGCTTGAAGATCAGAGGGTGGAGCCAGCCAGTAGTTAACCACCGAGGCCAGGCACACACCTTTGATGCCAGGGCTTGGGAGGCACATGCCTTTAACCCCAGCACTAGGAGGGTGGAGACAGGATCTTGGGGACACCCTTTCAGGCTGAGGAGCTGGCGAGGTAAGAAGTGGCTGTGGCTTGCTCCTTTGTCTTTTGGCATTTACCCCTATATCTGACTCCGGGTTTCTATTAAGCCAATCAGAATTCGCGCTACACACTTCTCTAATGACATCCTTTTACATGGAGAACACAACTGCCCTCTCTTCTGTCTAATGGGTAGGAGGGCAGAAGGGCAAGTGGAGTCGTGTCACTGTTTATACTGCCATTGTGTTGCCCCTCATCAACGTGGGTGCTGAGCTGACAAAGTAAGCTTCAGTTGAGAGACACCCCCAAAGCAAGGAAACTCCCAACACTTGCAAATGCAAATTATTTGGATTATCTTTTAATGAACCCAACTTCCCAGTGTTAAAAATCAGGGAACCAAAAGGTTTCCAAGCAGCCTTATTACCCAGAAATATATTAATACAAGGAAATCATCTCAAAACATAGCACACAACACAATTCCCAGAGCACAATATAAAAGTCTTCTAATAAATATAGATATTTAGTATATAAGAATTTGAAATTGCACATCGTATCAGTTTCTCTCAAGAATAAAGGAGGTTCTGCTGCCCTTGGCCTTTACATCAGTACACAGTCAAACTCTTTTCTGAAACCCAGTGTCTACGGCGTCCAGGGTTACTGAGTGAGCATAGCACTGACGGTCCAAATTACAAAAATTCCCCAGAGCAGGAGGCAGTTCACACACCTCGGAAGGCACACAGCTCCTTACGATGGTAAATGCATTTAAGTACTCCTCATTTTAAGACAAAGCTGTACAGAGTAGAAAAGTGTGTATTTACCATGAGACAAAGCTACCACTTTTATGATCAGACACTGCAGCAGGCAGGCCCACCTGCCATCCATCTGAAGAGAGATGGAATTCTGCTCATCTACCCCGTGAGGCAAGCCGAGACACTGGCATTGCACAGGGGATCAGTCTGTATCTTGGAGCTCACACTGCAAGGAAAGGGCTGTGGGCAATAACTCTAAACTCACTGTTTAATGCTTCAGAAGTGAAGGATTCTTAGGGAAAAAAGTTTTGGCTATTGCTGAAAAGATCCCAAACCCATACAGCTATGTTATGCATTTTCAGAAACATTTTCAATTAGACAATTGAATTAAAGCCAGTGAGTCTAGTCCAAAAGAACAATTTCAATTTTTAGGGCTGGAAAATCTCTCAGAGGGTCACTTATCCCAGGGTTTTAAAAATACGTTCCATTGAGCACTTGAGAATCAACAGAGGTTGAATCATCTGAAAATATGAATTTTAAAATGCTTTAAAGATTTATTTCTGGGGTGTGGGGGTGGGTCAGAAGAGGTATGGGTCCCCTGGAGCTAGTATTATAGGCTGTTGGTGACTCCACCAGTATAGGTGCTGGGAATTGAACTCGGGTCCTCTGTAAGAACAGCAATTTCTCTTAACCAATGGGCCATTTCTCCAGCCTCACCACCCACACCGTTTTTGAAACAGGGTCCCAATGTAGCCCAGGATGGCCCTGAATTCTCTATGCAGTTGAGGATATCCTTGAACTTCTGATCTTCCTGCTTCCTCCTCCCAAGTGCTGGGGTTCCAGGAATACAGCACCAGGACTGCTTGTTTCTATGCAGTGTTGGGGTGAAACCCAGGGCTCCATGCATGCTAGGCAAGCACTCTACCAGCTGAACCACACCCCCAGCCCTGAAATACTATTAGTAGTATTTTTTACAAAACAAAAGCTTTTCATCACACAAATTTGTTACTCATTAAACTCTAATGAAACTGTATCACCAATCACTGTGACATTTTCCTACCCTGACTTAATGGTGACCACACTGTACTAAGTTTATAAAAGGACACCTGTATTAATAAAATGTAGCTTCTATATAATGGGGGTAACTTGTGCATACAGACTAAAAATTTACTTGGAAGAAGTTTCACTGCTAAGGTTTGAAAACCACAAATACAGTCAGTTTCTACAGCAGAGTAAAGCCGTCTCAGGCTGGGAAACCAAAACACACAGCTAAGCTGGGAGAGAGGACAGCATTGCACTTGCTCACACATCGGGATAGTCAGTAGACAACTGAAGTCTGCAGTACTTGGGGGGCGGAATCAAGTTAGATCTTTTTCTTTGGGATTTATTTGTATTCTCATTAAGATCTTAATTAAAAATCAATAAGCAGCAACTTCAATTGTGTACCTTTGTACTTAGAAAAACAGGAACACCTGCAATCAGTGAGTGAGAAGTGTCTATGGACTGCTAAGAGCTCTTAAAGGTGGCGTGACTTCATGCACTAGTTCTGTTAGAGGCTGAACTGTTAACAGTCTTACTCGTAAGCCATGGCTGCAATTGGCCGAGCACTGCACTCCCATTACCATATTCTTTTCAGATTCTCGGAAGAGTGCAGAGGAATGGGAAGAAGCCAATCGTTCTCTGGATTTCAGGGGTTTACTAATGCGTGGTGAAAAGCTTCATCTCATCTTCCTTTTCTTTTAATCCAAGAGATTTGAGGAAACTGAAGCCTCTGAAAGGTGCCTTTACTTAAAACAAAGACTCCAGCTCAGGATTTGATGACTCAGAGTGACCCGGGAATATAAAAGTGTATCTGCACGAAGAAAGATTTCCTTCGGGGCATTATGGATAATCCAGTGAACCCCTCCCCAGGTCCGGAGAACAGCCGTGAAAATTCTTCCACTGCAAGACCAAGTCCCAAGCTCAGAGTCCTTCTCTGAGTGCTGCAGCACCGCAGTGATCAAGAGTAGCGCCAGAACCCATGTTGAAGTTACATTGACACCAGGAAGCAAATGGGCCATAGTAGTGAAGGATCCAGAAAGAACCACAAGGGGGCGGAGTGCACCTCAGGTCCCAGCAGTAGCAACCCCACTGAGACATTAGTTCCAGTAGTTTAGCTCAGATGGCTACAACTTTCAATACCCTACATTTTAAACCTAGCTAAGAAGATGCAGAACACCCCCTCCCTGAAAAGTAGTAGTGTCAAGTATTCTGCTATCTGTAGCAAAGGGTTCAAGAGCAACAAAGAACAGGTGGACAGTGGGGAATATGGCCAAACAGTAGCAAAGTGTAGCCCACCCTACATGGAAGACATAGGAAGGGAGTTTATTTAAGAATGGGACATATTATCAGAATAGCAAAAATAAGAGGGTGGAAAACCTGACCTTCCTGTGTGCGCCACACATCTCTCCCCTCCTCTATGACCAGTGTATTGCAGCTCACAGTAACAAGAGTCTTCCTCAGTCACGGCCTGTGGGGCTGGCCTGCCTCATCGGCCATGTTAAGAATATAGTTGGCCATGTCATCCTCAGTGGGTGCATCTGATACTACCCACGACTCATTTGCTCCAGTCATCTGTAGGCGACAAATGGGGCAGTTCCTGTGCCGATCACTCCTGTCAGGGAAGTCCAAGCAAAACAAGATTGTTTTCTTTCTTTTTCTAAAAAAAACAGGTTCGCTTGAAAAGTAGATGGCTTAAAAAAAAAAAAAGCAAATACCATAAAAGTACACAAAAAAGAGTTAATATTTCTCTTCATCCCAACCTTTAATTCTCCTCCCCAGGGTCAACCAGTTGTCTACATATTTTACTAGGGATAAATTAAAACCTCGGGCTTGTGGGAAACGGAAGCTTGTGTGTCTTGCTGACCTTGTGCTACTACTCACACATCTCAGAAACCATTCTGCCCTAGCAGATGCTGTTTTAGTCTTTCTGCTTTTCCCTTTGAGACAGAGTCTTGCTATCCAGTCCCCAGGCTAGCCTAGAGCTTGCCATCCTCTTGCGTCCACTTGCTCAGTGCTGGGACTGTAGCACACACCAACACACCTGGACTTGAGCTTACTTTGCAAAGAGCATGTACCGTATGAAGATGCCATACTGTATCTAATCTCCAGTAAAAAGACACGCAGTGTTCTCCCCCACACACACACCATTTTGTTTGCTACCACAAGCCAGGGTCTTTAATTTTTATTCCTGCATCCAAGTAAGTTTTCCTTTACAACAAAAATTCCTTATATGTCCTAAGAGAAAGCTACCTCTTACCAGTGGGAGAGTTGATCAAAGTGTAAATAAGCAGAAGCCACTGTGCCTTGGGACTCATGTTTAGCCAGTGGTAGGTATATGGTAGCAGCAAAGATTATTACTAATTATTATACTGAGTAATAAAGGTCATTCTTTAAAGATAGGGGCCTCTGTGCAGCTTGGCTGGCACAGACCTTGCTACGTAGACCGGTTGGCCGTGAACTCACAGAGATCTGTCTGCCCCTGCCTCCTCAAGTGCTGGGATTAAAGATGTGTGCCACCACATGCAAAAATATAAAAGACTTTTGACAAGTTAATTACAATTAAAGGTCTGATAAAATATCCTTTGGTTCAAAACCAAGAAAAGTTTAGAAAACTGTACAAAGATGGAGCATCTGAGGTTTAAAACAAGAGATGGCACTTATATACAGGATAATTTTCTGATACAGAGTACACATTTGATTACTTAAGATTATGTTTTACAATGGGATTGCCCAAATCAAATACTACTTTGGAAACTTAAATACCATATTTAAGCTAGAAATATATTATGAAAGGAAAAGACAGTGTTTTTCTCTTCTCACAGTGAAATCTAGGGTCAAAATAACCAATTCATCAACTGTTCTTTTGCTTTTGTACAAAAGCTGAGAAACTTATTCCAAAAACTTATTCCAAAAAAACGTATGGAGTTGGCATACATTATTTGGTTGATTTGGGCTCCCTGGAGATGGTTTACAAGATGTGTGGATTTCTGTAAATAAAACATCACAATTTAAAAACAATCAATTTCTGCTTCTGGCCAGCAGAAACCTGATTTATTTTCTGTGATGGTTTCAAAGAAAATTGCCCCCAAAGGGAGTCTCACAATTAGGGAGTGTGGCTTTGTTGGAGTGGGTGTGGCCTTGTTGGAGGAAGTGTGGCTCGTGGGGGTGGGGTCTGAGGTTTCATATGCTCAAGCCACATCCAGTACCTCAGTCCACTTCCTTTGCCTTCTAATCACTATGTAGCCACCGTGTCTGCCTGCACATCGCCATGTTTCACCATGGTGACAATGGACTAAACCTCTGAAAATACAAGCCACCCCAATTAAATGTTTGTCCTTTGTAAGAGTTGCTGTTGTCATGGTATCTTTTCATGGCAATAGAAACCCTAAGACATCTTCCCACTTAAAACAACTAACACACAGAAAGAATGGTGTCAGCTGAGGTTTCATGTAAAACACTGGACACAGACAAGGATGTGACTCCCAAGAGGTGAGAAGCAAAGTGAGCCTGTGATTGCAAGCCAGATGTCCTGTGAGTTTCCAGGACTCATAAAAAGAGGTAGGGGACCTCGGAGGCCTGGCAGGCTATTGAAGAAACAGCTAAGGCAAGGCAGCTAGAGCACTGCACAGCAGGCAGCCACACAGAGGCAGGGCCAAGAGACAGCAGGCCCATCACTGAACAGAGCACATCAGTGTGAGCATGTGAGCAGATGCCAGGAGGCTGGAATTCAGAGGGCACAGGATGTGGACCCTTCTGAAGGATTGTGTCCCATCAGTGGGGCAAACAGTGGAACTCCTATGTGGTACTGGAGAGCGCACATCTGTCATTCCAGAGTTACAAAGTTGAGGCAGGAGGAACGTTGCAAGTTCCAACTGAGGCATGCCTGGGCTAAATACTACAAGATCTTGTTTCAAAAAACAACAACAAAAATTTTTTTTAAAGTAAGGACTGCTTTGGGACTGAGTTGGCAATTTCTTGAGAAACATCTGTTATATACGATCTGGCCACTTGAGGTAGAAAAAGAAAAAGTCAAACTACATGTCCTTAAAACATACCTGCCCACAAACAAACACAGAAGCTTTTACTTGGCACTTATCTGCACCTACACCATGGTTAAATCTGAAGATGATTACACGGAATGAAAGAACCCAGACAAGAGAGAATACCCTGTATGGTGCCACTCTAAAAGTCTAGCAAATCTAAAGTATTTTAGCAACTGAAAGCGTTTAATAGCTGCTCAAGAATCAGGCTATAGGTGAGTCTGGGGTGTAATGGATTGCTCTTCATCTTGTTCTGACAGATTTCATCAGTATGCACATAAATTAAAGCATATGAGATTATACTTCAGATACATATCTAGCTTATTGCATATCAATCATAATTTTTTCTAAATGCTCCATTACCTTGTAAGCAAATGACCTTAATTAGTTGACCAAACATCCCTCCAGATCACACAGCTGAGGATTTGTTCCTCTACACACATATAGTGAATTATAGTGAATTATGTGGTGGGGGGTGCTGAAAAGGGGAAAGTGTTTGATTCTAGATTCAAGATGCTTATAGTGTCTGGCTGGGCAGTGGTGGCGCACGCCTTTAATCCCAGCACTCAGGAGGAAGAGGTACGCAGATCTCTGAGTTTGAGGCCAGCCTGGTCTACAGGGCATATTCCAGAACAGCCAGGGTTACATAGAAACACCTTGTCTTGAAAAATAAAAAAAAAAGCAAAAAAAAAAAATTCAACGAAGTCACAGCTCCACACTTTGTAAATATTAGGTATAAAAATACTTACACTAGCGGGCACACCATGAAACTCAGAGCAGTGAAGAGCAAAGCTCTCGTGTTAGTACTGAAGCACTGCATTCCCAGTTGTTTACTCACAGCCCAGCTGTCTCTGCTATCCCAAGGGGAGCGGATAACTTACCATTTGTCAATACACTTCTGACAGAAGCTGTGAGCACAAGGCAGGATGAGGTCAGCTCGCCCGTCCATGCAGATACAACACTCCTCCTCATCCGTCAGCTGCTTCACCCTGAGTGTGAAAACTGAGCTGGAACAATGACAGTCTCTGTCCATACACTTCCTACTTTGTTTCGCTGTCTTAAAAAGCATCAATAAATACAGTATAAAGTACAGCATGACTTACGTGCAAAGCGAAAACCAGACCACAGTTCACATCTTTGGGGGATAGCAAATACATTAGGGAAGAAATACCAAGGTTAAGTTTCTTTAAGAAACTAGAAAGACGTGATAAAAAGACAAATTCTGTGCAGTTTAAAGAAAACAAAATCTGAACAAAAACTGCATATTCAGGTCTTTCTGAAATAACTCAGTCCTTCTTAGACATATTGAATTTACATACAGGAAATGAATCAGTGTATCATTTAATTGCCATATCAAACACATGCTGCCTCATCAACAGGGCCTTACAGTGGCACTGACAGTATCAGAGCGAAGGGACAGCACAGTGGTCAGTACCAGATGCCAAAGAAACCCAAAGGGGCTGGAGTACAGCAGCTCCAGCTCAGGAAGCTCCCAGGAAGGAACCCAGTGCCACAGAAGCCATGCTCCTCTGCATGTGGAGTTTCCTCAACACCAACTCCAGTAGCTCAGCTTAAAATATCCATCTCCTTCTGTTCTCAAAACCAAATTTTACCTCAATTAAATCATTTAAAAATTGCATACTGCTGTTCCATGATTAGTCACCCTATAGTTTAGCTTTCCAAATACAAACTTTCTTAAAGTGATTGTAAATGTTTTATTCTCTGTTGTTCTTAAGGGAGGAGCCGGTCTGATACAACTGCCATCCCTGTTGAACTTATAGTATAGCATGTAAGGCATGGCAATAACACTTAGAACTTGCTGATTTGAACATAATATAAACAAATATCAAATGTGCAGTATGCATAGTATGTGCCAAGTAAGTATTTTTGGAAACATGAGAGAGAAATCACAGAATACTGAATAGAGACCATTTTAGAGCATAAAGTAAACCATGAAGGCATGAAAGACATGAAACGTGTGCGTGTGCGTGTGCGTGTGTGTGTGTGTGTGTGTGTGTGCACAAGGCCGCGTGATGCTCAGGAGTTCAACTGGGAGAAAAGACTGATAATATAGCAAAGACAATCTGATTCTCGAATGTCAAAATGCAAATCTGAACTTGCCCTAAGAGGCAAACTAGAATCAAGGGAACACAAATTCCTGCTGATTCAAGAAAATTAGCTGAGAGTGGAGAGCAAGAGGCAGTCTAGAGAGAGGGAATGAAGTAGGACTTGATCTCACAGCACACTTGAGGGACAGCTAGGGCCTGCTTTAAGGAGCATTACAACAGACCTACCACTAGGGTGAGGTAACACATTGTTTGCTTCAGCCATGGAGAAAAGAGTACTCACTGAACCGAAATGGTGAAATGAGTGGAAACCTACATGCATGTGGATTGATATGTACATTCATGCATACATTTGTGTATGCACACATATACGCACATGCAAATACACATATGAACATTTATACACATCCATCCATCAGCTCATGCATATTGACACCTAGGCACCTTTTCAAATCCACACTGGATTCAGAGGGCTTAGTATTTCTGCCTACGAGCTTCCAATCACCTGCAGGACTCCACAGAGTGACAGGGCATTCTGACAGGGACGCTTCAGAATCAGGAGCAGAAGGCCATTACAGACAATAGCAACTGAATATACCCAGAGCAAATGGAGACATTGCCAGCAGAAGCTGCTCTGTGTCCCTCTCTGCTACCTTCCTCTTAGCACAGTGAGCAGGAAGAAGGAACTTTGTTCTACCTGAGCAGTCGGAGCTGGAAGAGTGCCGCTTCCTACCACAGAACCTGAGGGGCACACTGACAGATGGAGATCACAGGACACTAGTACAGGGAGAACAGGAAACAAAGGCTGGAAACACTTATTCTGGAGATTAAGCTTAGTGGGAATTTGATTAGTTTTCGACAAGTGAAGGACAGAAGAGATCGAACTTGTCTGGTGGCATTCCACTCACGCAGGGCACTCTATAATTTAATAATGATGGTGAGAGTTAATGTACCTACACACACCGTTACGTGCCGGGCACCGTTCTGTGCCCCATCTATTAACACTGTCCTCTGGGGCACATGCCATTGCTCTCAACCTCTCACAAAAGATGAAGAAACTGAGGAAAGAGAGGACTTAAGGTTTGAACATAGGCAAGTTGGTTCTAGGGCCTCTGTTGTGCTGCCTCCAGAGGGCCAGCTGATACACTGAGGATAGAAGGCAAAGCGAAAACCTTCACAGGAATTCGAGCTATCTGGACGTGAAGAGGACTGCCTCTCTGAGGCGGTCTCACAGCTCTGGGCTGGTGGTAATGTAACTTGTAGTGCATGCTGGGTTCCCTGTGGTGAAATACGGCACAGTCTGGATATTGCAGAGCACAGACAGAGCAGTCGCCTAGGATCAGTGGCACCGGAGCACCTCCAGCTCCTTCCTCCTCCAAACCACTGAGCTGCACACACTAAATGGGAGTCCGCTATGCCAATCAATATCTAGCACTACAATACTCCTCTAAACCCGCTTCCTCATAGGACCAGCTGTATTCCTGGGGACTGTTAGGATTTAATGAACTGCAAGGCTCAACAAACAGCAGCCATTAATAGAACTATACATGTGACAATATGCAGGACTGTAGAAGGCCTCAGGTTCACCTACCACTTGCAAAGTTCTTTTCTAGAAGCTGGGAACCAGGACACCACTAGAAGCCCACAACACATGAAGCCAAGTACTGGCTTACCCAACCAACTGGCACTGCTTTCCTAGTGTCTAAGAGCAACACCTCAGCACCTTCCTGAAGACGACCCCAGCAGGCAGAGAAATGCCACTTGCTTTTCATTGCTGCTGTATAGCTACAGACGCTTTCAAAACACTCGGAATGAAACAAAACTGCAGTGTCAATAAAGAGGAACTCCTGTCAAACACATTCTTAACGTGAAGAAGGACATCTCCAGTTCCCAGTAAGGATATCAACATGCCTGGAAACACGGAAGTCTTTTCCAGTAGGCATTTGCAGGTGGAAGCTTGCAACACCGAAAGCATGGACGAAGGAAAGCTCAGACGGAACAGCAGTACATGAGGCCTGAGTAAAGGAGCACCAGGCAGCAAACTCCAGACCAATGCAGCGTCAACAGGCACACAGCTGTTTGTTCTTTCCTGAGTGGACTGCCACGGCCTGAAGACAGCATTTAAAAACTTAACTTCCAATTCGATAATTTCTGAAACAATTCTGTCATATTATTGGACTTAATTTTATAAATGGCTTTGACTGTCTAAAAACTCATTAAAGGGGAGGTATCAGTCATTAATGTCATAAATGCAAGAGACGGAGTGGGTTCCTGGAGAGTGAGCTGGGAGCCACCTTAATCTGGACAGAATGGAAGGCCAGGGTAACCTAAAACTGATCTGGGTTATACCACAGGCGGAGGCAACAGGACTGAGGGAGTCACAGAGCACTGGGGAGAATGTCACCGTAACCGTGCTCCACGGTGCACACACCTGCCCATCCACAGACTAGCCTGACAAGACGTTACAGAGGACAGGCTCCCATCGGGCTCTTCAGAGGCAGAGCTCTGCGCCAACACTCCAGCAGCTTGACTTGTGATGTCTTTATAAAGCTGAATAAACTGGTATAAATTCATGATCCGCGAGGCTTCCACAATACCACTGCTTTTGTTAATCTAGAAACAGAACAGGGGAGGGGGAACAGACACACAATTCAGTCAAATATCCTAGGAAACAAATTCATGGTGTGTAAAAACCTAGGAAAATAAGAGTCTGATTAAAGAATATTCACATTCTCCTCAGCTGTGGAACTCGTCAGAGAACTGACTACATTTTCCCATCTGACATTCAAAATAACCTTGCCCAGATGATCAGGCATCCTGTCTGGAGTTGATAACATCAGGCGACCTTCCCGGAGCTGAGAAATGAGTTTTAGAGATTGTTATTAAAATGTATACACTTTGCTGTTTTAATTAATTCTTTTTTGAGATAGGAACTTGCAATGTCACCCAGGCTGGCCTAGAATGGGAGATCCTCCAGCCTAACAGCCTTTAATTACAGGACTTACGTACGCTATTCTGCTACCACTAAGAGGAGGATGGCTTCCTCCTCTCCTTGTGTGTGACTTGTGTGAATGGGATGTGCAGGTGCTGCAGAGGCTTGCGGTGAACCGTGGGTAGGACACTGGCTACGTGCTCTGTCTGAGGTTCTGTCAGTTGGCCTGGAACCTGATGACTCCACTAGGCTCACACACCAGGAGGCCTCGAAGACCCAACTGCCTGTTCCTGCCTCCCCATCCTGAGATTACAAGTATGCTGTACTATACTTGGCTTTTATTTTTTTAACACGGGTTCTTGAACTCAAACTGGAGTCCTCGTGCTTGCACAATGCACTCTACTGAGCTAGTTCTTCAGCGCCGTTCTTGAATTATTTGGGCAACTCTGTACTTTTAAACTAAAGCCAGAATGCTACATTAAACAACAAATGTTAGTGAATATTGAGATTTTACAAAGTTTCATTTCCTGTGAAGTGGAACCAGTGGCCTGGAGATAGTTCCTCTGTAGATTGTATATCTACCCCCTCCACTTGACAATCTGATACAGGATACTTGAGACAGGACAGAGGATATTTTTATAAGACTTCAGAAAATCAGAGTGGGGTATACATTATAGTAACTCAGTAAGATGAGGATATAACAGCTTTGAAGGGTTGGCCAACCAGAGGTCCAGTACCTCTTGTTTGTTAAATGCCCCTTTACAGGAAGAGGTACTGGGCGCCTGGCACACAGCTCCCTAAGGGTGAAATGCTACACCGTGCCAGTCGGTCTGGAAGGGTTGACAGACGTGCGCCAGATGAGAAGCACAAGGACTCCAGCAAGGAGCCGCAAGTGGGTGAGACAGAGGGAAAGGTGATGAAAGCTACTGTTAGGTGAGGCACTGATAGAACATACAGTTTTTCTGATCTCCTCAGTGACTTTGTTGTTCTAAGCACACAGGAAGCCACTGGAGCGCTCTGAGCCAAGACATAGCATGATCTACTTTACACTTCAAATGTGCTGAGGAATGGTTACTGGGCTCAGAACACACAGAGGGACACCAAACAGAAGCTGGGACCGCTTAGGAGGTGAGAAGTGATGGCCCCATGAATCACTGAAAGTGGAGAGGCTCAGTGAGGGCCTGACTGAGCGTGGGTGCTCTGGAGCGCTTAAAGGACACAAGCAAAGGACAACTGCAAGGTCGTCGTCTAAGCACAAGAGATCTAAAACACGCACTTCATGAAGACCTGTGTGTGCATATGTGTGAAGGGCAGAGGTCAACCTCGGGCACTGTTTGCTCCTCAGGACACCTTGCATGTTTTTTGACACAGGGTCTTGCATTGGCTTTGAATTTATTAACTGGGCTAAGCTGGCCAGCCAGGAAGCCTAGCAATCCTCCTGTGTCTGCCTCCCCAGTGATGGATCATACCACTATGCACCGCTATGCTGAGCTCTTGCTGACTAAACACTTTCTCCTCAGTCTTCTTTTGAAGTTTTCTTAATAGCCCCTTCAGTCCATAAATTTGGGGGGTTATATATTTATTTATTCTATCTGTATCAGTGTTTTGCCTGCATGTATTTATGTGCACCGCATGTGTGCCTGGTGCTCAGGACATCAGAAGAGGTCATCAGATTCCCAGGAACTAGAGTTATAGAGGTTGTAAGCCATCATGTGGGTGCTGGGAAGTGAATGCAGGACCTCTGCAAGAGCAACAAGTGCTCCTAACTGCTGAGTCGTCTCTACGGTCCCCTCAGAGCATAATTTTCAATTAATCTAATAACTTTTCTAATGTCATACCCATAAAACATTCCATCTAAACATAATTTAAAAATGAATTAAATATTATTTGAGGATAATCAGAATGATGCATAGACAGGTAAGAGTGGTCTTAGCATAAATTGAAGGTTAAAATATAAATGTTTATAATTGTTTAAGAATCATGAATATGAAGTTCTCAGGCAAATGTCGTGAGTAACCTTGTACACTCAGCACTGGGGCAGCGAGGCAGAATAACTGAGACTACAATACTGAGACTGGTAACTCCCCCCAAATTTTTAAAATTAAAATAAAATAAATAAAAATAAAGAGAAGAAACACAACGTTTTCAGCCTCTAATCTTTTTTCCACACTAGACTTAACTCTTTCTAATCCATATACTGGCTTCCCAAGATCTTTGCCAAGAAATGCAAATGAAAATTCTTTGAATAGATCTACCATCAAGAAAAAAAAACCATACAAATGAAGGTGCTAAAGGCCTTTGTCTTTGATACTTTTTAAATTTGGTTTTGTTTTTTTTACAAGATTGTGTTCCTCTGTGTAGTCCTGGCTGTCCTAGAACTCACTCTGTAGACAAGTCTGGCCTCAAACTCAGAGATCTGCCTGCCTCTGTTTCCTGAGTGCTGGGATTAAAGGTATGTGCTACCACTGCCCGATTGTCTTTAATACTTTTATTTTTCTACTTATAATCTTATTTCAAGAAAGAATTTTGCTGGTTGTGTTGATGCATGCCTTTAATCCCAGCACTTGGAAGACTGAGGCAGGTGGATCTCTGTGAGTTTGAGGCCAGCCTGGTCTACAAAGTTCCAGGACAGCCAGGGCTATTACACAGAAAAACCCTATTTCAAAAAGGAAACAAACAAAACAAGAAAAGAGAAGAAAAGAAGGAAGGAAGGAAGGAAGGAAGGAAGGATTTCGATAGAATACAGTAATTTAAACTTAACTATATAGTAACGTAGTTAAAGCTGCTGGGGCAAAAATAATCTAATAATAATATCAATCATTAACTCCGTATCAAAAGGAGCAACAGAAAACGCAAGGGTTAGAAGACTGATACATTCGTATTTTGATAGTTCTACAGGTTATAGAGGTCTCCTCCTTGTAAACTAAGTGTTTTATGAAATGAGGATGGAGAGTGAAGATAATGTAGGTAACACGCGTACCAAACACAAGGAAAGCTCAGCCCTGGCCATACAAAGGAGGGACCTCAGCAGGGTTTGGTCATCCGCCGCAAGCCCAGCTGATGGATGCAAAGCACAGTATTTCAGGCAGGACACAGTCGCAAGGAACAGTCCTGCCCAAGGAGTCACAGGGAAGCCAGGGACTGAACAGACTATTTCTTTTTCTTTTTAATTTATTTTTATTTCATTTGCATTGATATTTTTGCCTGCATGCATGTCTGTATGAGGGTGCCAGATCCCCTGGAATTGGAGTTACAGACAGTTGCAAGCTGCCATGTAGGTACTGGGAATTGAACCGAGGTCCTCTGGAAGAGCAGCCAGTGCTCTTAACCACTGAGCCATCTCCCCAGCCTAAGTACACTATTGTTAATGCTGAATGTTAGCTGTAAAGTAGAAACTGAGAGCTACTGGAGTTTAGAAGAGGTGAGAGAATTCCTGTGAAGGGAACTATGGATGAGATGGTATCTGAGATGGACCTTTGGAAACATCAAGTGTCAACATGCAAGAGTGACAACAGCTGCTGGCCGTCCAGGCATTGTTTCCACTTTAGTTGCTGGGATACCAGCTTTTATTCTGGCATTTTCCACTCCCTGAAATGTATTAGGAACCAATACTGGTTAGTCTGATCTAAACCAATTCCCCCCCCCCCCCCCGTGTGTGTGTGTGTGTGTGTGTGTGTGTGTGTGTGTGTAGAAAGTATGACTGAATAGTGACCAGTGGGTCATGAGATCTGCTGGGCCTGCAGCTCTGGAGCCAGTGCATTAGGATTTGCTGATGCAAGACAAAGATAAAAGGCTTTTGTTTAAACTAGTTTAAAGCAAGTGTTCTGTGACTCATAGCTGACGACCATTAAAATGACAGAAGGAAAAGACATTCTAGTTGAGGGAACTTAATATCAGAGGGTGTGAGTTGTAAAAGTAACACTTTCAATTCACTAACATTGGTGGCATGCAGAAGGCAAAAGGGAATAGTGAATAAAGCAGAAGAGAAGTCTGGAGTCCCACGTCAGCCCATGAACACCAGACAAGAGCGGGGAGAGTCTGGAGGCGGTGAGGACTGCAGAGTGTTCAGCAAGGCCGTGAGCTGAGAACTGCGCTTCAGAGGTCATTTCACAGCAGCATAAACTGGAGCCTGGAGGATGCTGGAAGTGTGGAGTCAGCAGAGTCTATGGCATTCTTGCTCAGAAGGAACGGGGCCTGAACTATAAACAGTTTCATTTCCTCAAGGACATGGCATTTGCCTGAGCTCTTAGTTCCTAGTGTATTGCTCACATTTCTGCCTGAAGAAACTGGAAGTAAGCAGAGGTAAACCTGACAACTCACTGTGGAAAGGAACAGACCAAGGCAGTCTCTGGTTCTGAGACTCACTAGCGTTTATCTGTAATGTATGATACCATTTGTTCTAGCATGTTATATATACATATACACAGTTCATAAAAAGTTGAGTTTCCTTTTTTAATGAGTAAAATCCAGTGTTCTTAAAAAAATCAAATCCTGAGATAACTCTCTTAAGACTGTCCTTTGTCCTTCAAGATTGGCTTATCAATATTAGACTCCATCCACGTCCTAAACAGAGTGTTATCGTTTATATAATGTGTTTCAGACAGTCAAGTGACTCACCTGGGGGAGAGTTGACTGGTCAGCAATGGACTTCAAAGCATCCACAGCTGTGAATTAAGGCTTATATGGCTTATCTGACCTTTGAGAGGAGGGGTTGAGACGGAAGGAGAGCTAATAAAATTCATTTCCTCTCAAAGGCCTGGGACTAAGAATTGTTATTTTAATTAATTTACTGGGAGCAGGAAGCTTTCCTATACTCTGCAACAGCTGCCAAGATATTTTTAGCAGTTATCTAAAATATAAAAACCCAACTATAAAATAGTACATTCCTGACAAAAGTCCATCCATAACTCAAAATCTCCATGGCCTCTCCGGTGGCTATTGTTTTCAGGTGAATGTAACCCAATGTTCTTAAAAGAAGGAATTTCCTAAGGTAACTAATTTTTAAGATATCGTCTCAGAGCTAATGATAGTGTCCTCAGAGGGTTCTACAGCTAGCTTAGCCTCAAAAGACAGATGGAGGGCAAAGATAAGTTTACTACCACTTCCTCCAATTATAAAAATCTCTGTGACTTGGCAGTTGACAACAGTTGAGAGTCAGACAGTTAGCTTGTAGCAAGAACAGTATCACATGATGCTTTAAGTGGTTCAGTAAAGTGTCAATCACACAGGCATGAAAACCTAAGCTCAGACACTCAGCACCCACATAAAATCTGGGTACAAAGGTGTGCATGTAAGCCCAGCACTAGGGGAGCAGAGATGAGCAGATCCTGGCATGGGGTGGGGTTCCTGGCCTGACAGTCTAGCCAAAACAGTGAGTGAGTGTCAGGTTCAGTGGCAGACCCTGTTTCAAAAAACAAGGTGAAGAGTGATAGAGGCAGATGCCTCATGTCGGTGTCTGGGCTCAACCATGATGTGCACATGCATACAAAGACTAACAAGCACACATATACACACACACATGCATACACAGACTAACACACAACACACATACACACACACCCTATGTTTTATAAGACTATAAAAGCAATAACACTTATTTATAGTCTATTACATTATTAATATGCCTCTAATTACCCAAAGAGCACGACTCGAAACAGAAGACCTTACCGGTCTTACCTTGGTACAGACCACCCGTACAACCACTTTCCAAAAGGCAGAGGAATCAGACCCAGGTTGGACCTCAAAGAGAAGATGTTTTTCCTGGCCAGCAGCTACCTTAGCAGTTCTGGAAAAAGGGCAAGCACATTTGTTAATTTTATGAAAAGTAAAACCAAACTCAAGAAACACTTTCCAACAGGGCAGACAAAAGCAGAAGTGATGTAAAAGCACAGGGACAGAAACGTTCTGAACACGTACTTAGTTTCCAAAGTTTTTAAAGTCAAAAGTTCTGTGAAATACTTGTCTCCATATCAGTATTTCAATTGTCTTTGAGTTTCTAAAAAGAATGTTTAGAAAAAATTGGTCTAAAGCTGGTCATGGTGACACTAGCCTGGAAGATGGCAGAAAGGACGATCAGGAGCTCAAGGAGAGCTTGGAGCAGGTTTGTGCTGCATGAGAAAACCTGCAGTAACAATCAGCCCTGACAAACACAGCTCAAGAAACCTGGCACTTTAAGTAAAAGCCTGTTGGCTTAACTTACACAAACGCTGACCAAATAGACATAATTTTGAGGAATACCTTGCTCTCGGTTGAATCCTGTTTACAGATTAACATACTTTTCTGAAAGCTTTCTAAGTATACTAATTTTGAATTCAGTCAAGTAAAGCAAATAATTTGTGATATTAAATACAGCTCTACTCCCTTTCCTCAAGAAGAATTACAAGAGCCACACTAGCATAAAGACAACACAACAATCAGAATCTTGCTATCAACACCAACTAAAACTGATATGAAGCCCTAAGGCTGCACCTTCCTTTCCCACTGCTGGCTTTTCTCTGAGCACCAGCAGCAGAGCTGCATACAACTAAGTGCCTTCCAGCTAAGCCAAGCAACCTGTCTCCAGGAAGCCGGCCAAAGGGAACAACTGACATGCCAGCTTCCATGTGCTTGGCGGAAACCAAGCCACACCTCTGTGTTTGACTTCAGGGTTGGCAGACATCAAGCAGGGAGCACTGCACTCATGAAATGCCCAACTCTAGCCCATGGAAATGAGTTTCAAACCATACTGCTGGTATTGCTTAGTGTATAAGCAGCAGTATGTGCTTAGGTTTAATTTTCAACACTGTTAAAACAAAACAAAAATAAAAACCCATCAAAAATAAACAAAACAAAACCCCTCAAATTCACTCAGGTATCCTGCCCCAGGTAAATAAAAGAATATATTTCTACTGTCGCACAGTAATTTAGTTTGCAGGTGATGTCACAGGACAGAGGTTTTTTTCTTCTTCTAAAAACTTTAGGTCAATAAGCAAAATTTCATCGGATAGTCTGAGTTTACATATATAAAGTACTAAAGGATGGCAAAAGTTATGAATTACTCTTCCTAGGAGCTGGAACAGTGGAGATGGCTTAGTGCTTGGTAAAGACACTTGTTATCAAGCCTGGCCACCTATGTTCAATCCCTGGGACATACATGTTAGGAGAGGCAGATTCCTCAAGTTGTCCTCTGACCTCTGCCTGTGTACTGCCCCCATAAATAAATGTAATATTTTTAAAAGTTGAAATAAGAATAAGGTGCACTATTCTTTTGATACTACGGAATTCTCAGTCCTATTTTTTATATATAATATGGAACGCTTCACGAGTTTGCCTGTCATCCTTGCGCAGGGGCCATGCTAATCTTCTTTGTGTCGTTCCAATTTTAGAGTATGTGCTGCTGAAGCGAGCACTCTCAGTCCTATTTTACTCATCTATATAAATATGATCTCAAAAACAAGCTATTTTTTTTAATTAATAAAATCCAGTGTTCTTAAAAGAAAGCAACTCCTAATAAAAACCTTAGGACTGTCCTTTAGGCTTAATAACTTACTGAAAATAGGCACTATATTAATAAAGTATGATCTTATGTTTCATATTGTCAGTGTCCCTTATCTACTAGGGAAATTCCTTCAGCCAATAGCCTTTAAGATACCAGCCCACTGTGGGCGTGGTCTCATGTACTATAAAGCACGGGCCTCTTGGCTGCTAGATTTAGTCCCAGTTCCCAGCACACACAGAGGACTGTGGATCACTGCTCTCTCTGTGAGTTTATCCCCAGCTAAATAAGCCTTTGTTATACTCCATTCCGGGCTATTGTGGAACTTTCTTGTACACCAACACTTATCCAACACAATTGTCATAAAAGCCTCTGGCAAAGTAGCATGCGTATTAGCACAAGCTATTAATAGTGTCTGTACTATTATAAATTTGTATATAGTGGTCCTGGGCTTTGAGGTGCTTGAATGAGAAGCAATGTAGGATAACAGAAAGAACTTCTGATTCACAGACAGCTGCAAGTGTCGTCAGTATTTGAGTAGTCAATTAAAATGGATAATCAGTTAAACTTTTCAAACCCCTGGTGCAGTGCACTGTGCATATCGTGTGTCCAGTGAACACTGGTTAGACTGAAGAGACTAGAGAGAACCTTTAAGACATCACTTAGGGGAGCTGGAAAGATGGGCCAGTGGTCAAGAGCACCGATTACGCTTACAGGTGACCTGGGTTCAATTTCCAGCACCTAATGGCAGCCCACAACGGTACGTAACTCCAGTCTCAGTAGATCTGGTGTCCTCTTCTAGCTTTTGCAGGCACTCAGACATGCATGTGGTGCACAAACATACATGTAGGCAAAAACTTATATATATATATAATAAAATTATTTTGTACATATATCACTTAAAGTATCTTAGGCAAGTTTTAAATAAACTCTCAAAGAGACAAAGGGTTGATACAGAATAAAGAAAAGGAGAAGGTGCTACCAGAGGAAGGTTTAAGAGGAGTAAAAGGCGCCACCCATCCATCAGTACTGAGAAAGCATTGGTGTCTGAGGCCATTAGAGGGCAAAGAACCCTTTATATTTTAAAAAGCTTCTACATAGATCAGCACAAAAACCGAGGTGAAATCTATAAAGCCTAAGTTTAAGGTGAAAAATTTACACCATCTTAGGAACTCACTCTGGAGAGTTAAGCAGACAGTACTTCAGTGAACAAACTGTGGCCACACACAGATAAACGGCTGATGCTTCTGACTGTCCGGCTTTTCCTCTGGTGACTGAGGGCAAATTCTCTTCTGTTTGTGTGCCCTTTCAGTCTTCCGCGGCAGAGTCAGCCACAGCCTCTCAGTACACAGCTGCTGAGCTGCAGGACATCCTAGCATTGCTTCGCCATACCCGTTGTCTGTGTTCTAACTTCATTCTACGTTCCTCCCATCTCTGTTTCCTTTCCTTATGGTAAAATAGCTACATTAAAGTCTGCTTAGAGCAGACAGTCAATGTAGCACTTTCTAACTTATGCTAAAAAAATTCATTCATCCGAGCATATGGTTACCTTCTACACAGCCATGACAAACGGGGTCATACATGAAGGGAAAACAGGATGAAGACGAGCAAGCCTTACACATCATTGAGTTCAGCTACTCTCCCAAGAAACTCTTCATAAGTTAAGGAGCCACTTTCTCGAACCAAGGTGACGTGTTTTGCTACTTTTTCTGGTAACTTGTTAATAACCAATTGCGTCTGATCCGAAATTTGCTGTCCCATGGTGAAATGGTGTCTTTCAGAATTCAGAAAGAGTTTTGCTTCACATAATTTCTGTTAAATACAATGCAAAAGTTATTTGTACATAATTATAAAAATACCAACATAAATACCAGTAATCTCATTGTCCTAGTTACGGTAACTACTGCTGTGATGAAAGACCATGCATGACCAGAGCAACTTGGGGAGGAAAGGGTTTATTTAGCTTGCACCTCCACATCACTGCTCATCACCAAAGGAAGCCAGGACAGGAACCCAAGCAAGGCAGGAACCTGGAGGCAGGAGATGTGGAGGCGATGGAGGGTGCTGCTGAGTAGCTTGCTCCTTGTAGCCTCTTCAGCCTGCTTTTCTACAGAACCCAGGACCACCAGCCTAAGGGTGGCCCCTCCCCCAGTGATCACCAATTAAGAAGATGACCTATGGGTTTGCCTACAGCCCCATCTTAGGAAAGAAGTTCCTCAGCTGAAGATCCCCCTTCTCAGATGACTTTAGCTCGTGTCAAGTTGATATAAAACAAACTAGCACACTCATCCTTCAAAAAGCCAAGAAAAACTACCAGCACCTTTAGCGGGATTCAGTCACCTCAAATGAATCTGAGACACAATTTATTTAACCATAGTTTTTAAAGTTAAGTTTTCAGAATCATACAGCTAAATGACTCACTTACGATATTGGAAGAGTGATGGGTCTCTCTCTCCCCCCCCCCTCTCTCTCCCTCTCTCTCTCTCTCTCTCTCTCTCTCTCTCTCACACACACACACACACACACACACACACACACACACACGTCAGGCTCCAAACCAAACGCTTTCCACAGATGACACATTCACTACTCACAGCACCCTACAGGGGTAGATGCATTTTTTTTATATCCCCATTCTATGGATAAGGAAATGGTTAAATCTATGGTATGGGGTAGACATGAACTTTGAACTCCTACCTCAAGAAAGTCCATTTTATTTACCATTTAGAAAATCTTTCACTTTTACTCAAACGAATATCCTTACCACATAAAGCAAGAGAAGAAGTAACAATTACATAGAAAAGAATTTCATCAGAAAGCTTGCTTTATCATGTAATTTAAAAGTGACATTATAGTTTTAAGTACAAAACATGTGACTTTAGGGCTGGCAAGGTGGCGTGTGGGCATCTGCACTTGCTACCAAGCTTGACAACCGAGTTCTATCCCCCGGAGTCCCAGGATGGGAAGAAACAACTCTTGAAAGTTGTCCTCTGACTTCCATACATACACGGTAGCATGTGCTCCCCTAGACACACGTACGTATACTCACAAGACAAATAATAAATGTTTAAAAAATGTGGCTTCATTATAATGAGGACTACTGAGAACTCAAGAACAATGGCAATGGGTTTTTGATCCTACTGCACGTACTGGCTTTGTGGGAGCCTAGGCAGTTTGGATGCTCATCTTACTAGACCTGGATGGAGGTGGGTGGTCCTTGGACTTCCCACAGGGCAGGGAACCCTGATTGCTCTTCGGGCTGACGAGGGAGGGGGACTTGATGGGGGGGGAGGGAAATGGGAGGCGGTGGCGGGGAGGAGGCATAAATCTTTAAAAAATAAATAAATGAAAAAAAGTGGCTTCAAACTAAAGTATATAACCATAAACATGTATCACTTTCAGTGTTAAAATTTAATGTACTATATGTTTTTTAAAGTTACTTAAATATAGTAAAAGTACAATTATACTAAAAAATAAATCCCCCATTACTATTTTGGATTTGAACCTATGTGGTAGCAATTAATATCATACTAGAGGAATAGTAAAAAAGAAGGGAAACCTGGATTACTAAACATAATCTCTGAAGGCAAAAAATTACATTTTAAATGTGTTCAAGTATAACAGACTCACACCAACTATATCCAAAGAGGAATCATTAAAATTCGCAGCTTAGAAAAGGTGTCCAGGGAGTTCACCTTAGTGGTTTCTGGGCAGCACAGACTAGTGACAATCCAAAACACAACAGTGTTGAACTCCATTTTATCCTAAACAAGAACAGTTTCAAAACAAAAATTCCCAAATGCCCAAAACCTAAGAAAAATGCAAAAGAACAATAACATGAAAAGTAGGGTATGGCATTAGAGTAAGTCCCTGTCGAGAAAGGCAGTGACTTCACCCTGATGCTGCAGATAGATATTTAAACACATGCTATCTTTACTTTTCAGGTTCTATTTCAAATGTGTGGAAACATCATAAGCAAATGGCTACTGACCAGCTGGAAACCAGTGCCATACATGGTCTTTCTAAAAATTATGTTTAGCTGCTCTGTGATGGTGCATGCCTTTAATCCCAGCACTCAGGAGGCAGCAACAGACAGATCTCTGAGTTCAAGGCCAGCCTGGTCTATGAATCAAGTTCCACGACTGTCAAGGCTACACAGAGAAACGCTATGAAAAAATAAAAATTATGTTTAACAAGTACTGTTTGCATTGTTTATGGCCTGGGGACAGGATGGTGAGCAAACTAAAGACAGTTCTCGGTACCACAGGGCATCCAACACAGTTGGGGTGGGGCAATAGCCACGCAAGTGAGCATATTTACAAAATGAGAAACACTACACCAAATAAATACAGAGTGCCTGAAAAGCCCAGGAGGGTGTTTTAAGTTGGAAAAGAAATTCTGGGCAAACACTTGAGTCCAGAAAGATAGTTTGGGTTTGCAAGACAGTCGGGCATGGTGGGAAGACATTTAGGCAGAAGTTTCCAAAAGTATCTGAGATAGGTAGATCATGATGCCTTTGAGGGAAATAAACACACTGGTGTGACCAGAGATCCTTCTCCCGATGGTGACACCAAAACAAAATCAAGACAATTGTTTAAGTTTTTTTTCAGATCATTGCCCAATCTGGCTGACCAAGACAAGAATGAAAGAACCATATTACTGAGTCTCAGTGACTTACTAGTCTAACTACAGCAAGAAGCTGATCCTGGGGAGCATTCTGAAAAGTGACTGCACAAAAGCACCTAGGTAAGATGTGCTTTAGAGCAGCACAAGATAGGAGTCCTGAAGCTTTCGATTAAAAATAACAGTACAACAGGTTAAGCAAAGACGTCAAAATAACCCTAAACTCCGGCTAGAAGCAGACGTCTACAGCAGGGAGCCTCCCGCTCTACCGTATTACACAGTGGGCTGACCACACAGGAGGCTTTGATTCAGCTCAAGGCAGCCACACCCTTTAAAGGTACCAATACATTAGCCCACATTCCAGAGTCGTGGGTTTAGAAGCAGACTGTTTTACATGACTGTGGCTGTGTACAGCTATGTAATGATCTGTGAAGCACAACAGCCTGTTCAAATAACTGAGGAGCTACCACATGGAAGAGAAGTAGGATTGTTTTACTTGCTTACAAAGAGCAGATTGGCCAATAAGTACAGAGGGTCAGACTTATAAAAGAATGCCCTACCACCAGTGATGGAAAGGCTGCTGCAACATACATGAACTTTTCAATGCATAATATGAAAATGTTTAAAGACTGGAAGTTCATCTAATGAGTTACACAGAGAATTTTCCAGGTGCAAAGTGGAGGTGCTAGCCTATAACCCAGTGGTTCTCAATCTGTGAGTTGTGACCCCAAAGACCACCAGAAAACACAGATATTTACATTATGATTCATAACAGTAGTAAAATTAGAGTTATAAGGTAGCAACAAAAATAATTTTATGGTTGGGATCACTACAACATGAGGAACTGCATTAAAGGGTCACAGCATTAGGAAGGTTGAGAACCATTACTCTAACCTAACATTTTGCTCTCAAAATGAAGCTTAACTTTCAAGCTTTTACTGTCCTAGCCTCACAAACAGACTCTCATCAGCCAGCCTGATGCTTTCAATTCCGTCTACATCACCTAACAGAGAAAACCAAACTTCTGAAATGGTCTCAATCGAGACTTAATGGAACTGATGACAACTGGATCAACATTTGTAGGGGAGGCAGCTGTTCCCTCCTTTACCTCTCAGGGTCTCTCGCTGTTCCCAAGATTAGCTAAAACAAGATTAGCTATATACAGTTTTGGTTTTGGTTTTTATATGTATGGGGAAGTCTTCACAAGAAAAATATGACCGTAAATAGGACCCAAAGCAGACACTTACTAGACAGTTGTGGAAAGATGCCCAGACAAAGGAGCCGGGGCTGGGGCAATTTCCCCTGGTAAGAACCAAGCACTTTCACATGGTTGCTTCACCCCCTATTGGAGGAGGAAGAGTAGGATCTTTTATCTGCTACTTTAAAAAACTGTTTATGCTCGTGTCATATTTTGGTATCCTACTCTGCTCATCAAAATCCCATCTTCAAAGAAGCCTTTGTTGTTTTTTGAATTAGACAATGTTGCATTGTCTCACTGGTACCCTAACTTTGAGTGGCAAATACCCATTGTCTCACTGGTACCCTAACTTTGAAATGTTAAGGTTTACAGTGTGAGGCAGCATATTGTTTTCCTGTAATGGCACTTAGAATCCAGGAAACTGAATCAGTGACCCCACACCTACCTGAGGGCATGGAACCAGGGTGTTCACACTAGATAGGAGGGATGGCCTTCATTTAACCAATATTAACAAATTTCCACCACTAGTGTAAAAATATGACAATTATTTATGTGTAATATAGAGCCATTGACATTAGTATCCACAAAAGCCATCTGCTGAAGTCACCCTTCAGTCACCAGTCAATTACACACCTCCTATGACTTCCTCAGGATACTTAGCTGTGTTCTGGCTTTTGAACAACAGACAAGTGTATATTATTTCTCTAGTCAACACACTGCACTCTTATCACTCATCTGGTACCCTATTATTAGCTCAGTCATGCATCCACAATAACATGGAGCACAAGTTAAAATATATTTATGGAAAATGTAAAACTGTAAAAACTTATCCCGGATATCTATATATATTGGGAAACGACACAAAATATCTCCCTTGAAACCATAGAACAGTAGTGCCGCTTGCAGACATAATTTGCTGGTAAACCACTGGCAAAAAGACAGGTCTGTGGTCTGGACTTTTCAGAGCTAGGAGGTGGGCTCTCAAATCCCGGAGACACTTTTAGCATGGCCCCTTGTAGAAAAACAGAGATGTGCTTCCTGAAAGCAGCTGCGGGGTGTGTGTATGTGTGTGTGTGTGTGTCCTAAATAAAAGCTGTTATTCTGAAAGTCACCGGGAAGAGCAAGGATTCCAAAAATGCCACATTCTTCAGTGGGTGGCACACGAGCCGCTGTAGTTCAATGCTCCTTCTAAGACTATAACAACTGCAACACCAGTAATGCTCATGTACAGAGACTCTGAAAATTTAAACCACAAACCTATCCAGAACTGGATTAGCAGGAAACTGAGACAATCAACATGCAAGATGAGTAGGTGAGGGCTAGGGAGCTCAGCTGGAGGCTGAGGGCCAACCGGAGCTCTAGCCCCGAGGTCATGTGAAAAGCAGAGGCTGGGAAGGCAGAGGGGACCCCTGGGACTTGCTAGCCAGTGGGTGCAGTCTAACCTGACCCAAGGTTGACTTCTGGTATCCACTTGAACCCGCCCCCCCGCCACACACACACACAGAGATGATGATCAGTTGACAAGGATTGAGGTATTAATGGCACCTTTGAAATCTGTTATAATCTTAGTAATATATACTAAGTTCTACACCCGGGTCTTGAAGGACACTATTTACCTTATTATTCACTGCTTACACAAACTCTAAATCTACAAAAAGTATCAGCTGTTGAATTAACAGAGATATAACAGTCCAATGATTAGGCTGGTCAGTCACTATAGAGTCTAGAATCCCTGTTCTGGGGCCAAAGGTCGTAAGGAGGAGAAAACGAAACTAAAGAATTCTTTTCACAAAGACTGGAAACCTACAAACAGAGTACTGGTCAATTGCTGGAGTTCTAATAGTACTGGCCTACTTAGTAAGCGTACTTATTTTTTAAAATATACTAGATTTGTATGAATTCTCCTTGCAACTTTTCTGGCTGTTTAGGAAGAGAAATCAACTTCCTCTAATCAGAGAATTTAGATGTATTCAGAGAACCAAACAATATCAAATACTGTAGATATTTCTCTTATATATAATGTTCCCTTATGTCAAATGACAAAACCTTTCTGAAAAACACAATCATATTAAGGAGGAAAACACACAGAAACTAAAACCAGATGGCATTAAGGTGTGTGTGTGGGGGGGGGGGGGAGACCATGCTACTTATGAGGGTTCTGAACACAGAAAGTATATCTTCTCAAAGACAACTATCAGCTCATGCCCAAGCCGAAATTCTGAAGGATGAACTTCATTCTATAGCAACAATGGTCAGGGGAGGAGTGGAAACGACTTAGTTCGAGACATAGGATTAAACGTAACTGGGAGTGTTACTGTAGCTACATATATCCAGAAGGACAAGAGACGCTGGGCATCAAGAAATGGTGCTGGGTCAGAATATGCAGGCACACTGCCATTTACTTAATAGCTAGGCTGGAGAAGTACAACAGTAAACCCATATTCTGTAATGAAATTGCACACAGAAGGCGACTTACCCTACAATTATGATTAGCAAGGAAACTTTTTCATCAATGTCGGTTCTCAAGGTAGCAATTATTTTGACAAGCAAAGGCCCAGGTGAACAGCCTGGGCGGGTCGGCCGACGCTCCAGGCCCAGGCTCCCCCCACCCCCCTCAGGAGCCCTGCCCTGCCCTGTGGCCACCCTCCAGCCTCGGCCCCTCCTCGGCGCACCTGCTCTGCTAACCAACAGCTAAACTGCTTATTGCACCAGCGCCAAGATTCAAAACTGTCAGAGCCGGTCGGAAACCTCTCCTCAGCACCACCGCCCACCGCGAAGGCGGAAGCAGTGCATCCACCCGCCCTGGAAGCCGGTGCCCCAGGCCCCGCAGCCGAAGCCCTGACCAGCACGGCCTAGCTCCCCCGAAGCCCCGCAACGCAACCTCGTGCTGCGCGGGCTTCCACTCCCGCTCCAGGACGGTGGAGAGGCTGCGAAGGGACACGGCGAGGGGGCGGCGCTGCAAGGCTCACCCCGTTCAAGGCATTGCTCTCCCAGCGCCAGCGACGCCGCCTCTGCTTAGCTAAACCCGCTAGGCGGCAGCGCCGCGTCGGCCGTTCCAGTCGCACCTCAGTGACGCAAGGTCACGCCCTCGCGCGTTGCCTGGAGACGAAGCTCCACCCCACCTGCTTGCTTTGGAGGACTGTATGGCTGGAGGCTGCTGACATACACTTGCAGGCAAAATGTTCACATGCATAAAAGTCAATAAAATAAAATAATTTTTTTAAAACACAGAAAGAAAGAAATGGCAAGCTGCAGACTTGGAAAAAGCAGAATATATTAAACAAAGGACTTCTAATTAGAATACACAATTCTCACAATTCTTAAACCTCAGAAAAGAAACAACCACTTTTTTCAAATGGCTAGTGAGTGGACAAGCCTTCTAGATTATAGATGGTGAATAATCACATGTAATGCTGTCTGACAACATTATTCATTAAGGAAATGTAAATTAGAAGGAAAATGAAGTATCAACGCAATACCACAAGAGCACCTAAAATTGAAAGGGCAATATGAGATGGTGACAAGAATGCTGAACTGGGATTATTATAGATTGCCTGCAAGATGTGTGTAAGATGATACAATTATAGTGAAAAGATTGTGGTCCTTTTAAATTGTTTTTATTGATCTATACATTTTTCTTCACTCCCATCCCTTCCTCCTCTCCCCTTCTACCCTCTTCCGTGACCCTCACACTCCCAATTTACTCAGAAGATCTTGTCTTTTTCTCCTTCCTATGTAGATCCATGTCTGTCTCTCTTAGGGTCCTCTTTGTTGTCGAGGTTCTCTGAAGTTGTAGACTGTAAGCTAAGCCACTTATGAGTTGAGTACATGTTTGTCTTTCTGGGTCAGGGTACCTCAGTCAATATGGTTTTTTCTAGATCCATCCATTTGCCTGCAAATTTCAAGATGTATTTACTTTTTACCACTGAGTAGTACTTTATTGTGTAAATGTACCACATTTTCCTTATCCATTCTTTGGTGGAGAAGCATTTAGGTTGTTTCCAAGTTCGGGCTATGACAAACAATGCTGCTATGAACATAGTTGAGCACATGTCCTTGTGGCATAATTAAGCATCCTTTGGATATCCAAAAGTGGTATTTCTGGATCTTGAGATAGATTGTTTCCTAGTATTCTAAGAAATCATCATTCTGATTTCCAAAGAGGCTGTACAAGTTTGCACTCCAACCAACAATGAAGGAGTGTTCCCCTTACTCCACATCCTCTCCAGCATAAGCTGTCATCAGTGTTTTTAATCTTAATATTTCTGACAGGTGTAAGATGGAATCTCAGAGTTGTTTTGATTTACATTTCTCTGATGACTAAGGATGCTGACGATGTCCTAAAGTGTCTTTCAGCCATTTTAGAGTCTCCTGTTGAGAGTTCTTCGTTTAGGTCTGTACCCCATTTTTTATTGGATTATTTGTTCTTTTGATGTCAAATTTCTTGAGTTCTTTGCATATTTTGGGTTTTTTTTTTTTTTGGTTTTTTCGAGACAGGGTTTCTCTGTGTTTTTTTTTTTTTTTTTTTTTTTTTTTTTTTTTTGGAGCCTGTCCTGGAGCTAGCTCTTGTAGACCAGGCTGGTCTTGAACTCAGAGATCCGCCTGCCTCTGCCTCCCAAGTGCTGGGATTAAAGGATATCAGCCTTCTGTCCAATGTGAGGTTGGTGTAAGCAACCATTTTGTCTTATTAAGCATTTCCTTTGCTTTACAGAAGCTTCTCAGTTTCATGGTCATTTTTTTTTTTAAAGCTAAGCACACACGCTCTAACCACATAATGCAGTCATCCCATTTCTAGCATATAACCATGCAAAAATTGGGTCGCCAAAATTGGAATTATTTGTAATAGACCCAAACTAGAAACAACCAGATGCCTGATGTGGTGGTTTAAATGAAAATGGCCCCCATAGGCCCACAGGAGTGGTATGACTAGGAGGCGTGGTCTTGTTGGAATAGATGTAGATTTTTGGAGGAAGTATGTCACTGGGGGTGGGCTTTGAGGTTTCAGATGTTCAAGCTAGGCCCAGTGTCACTCTCTCTTCCTGCTGCTGCAGATCCAGATGTAGAACTCTCAGCTACTTCTTCCTGCCATGACAATAATGGACTAATAATGAACTGTAAACCAGCCCCAGTTAAGTGTTTTCCTTTATAAGAGTTGCCATGATGTCTCTTCACAGCAATAGAGCTCTAACTAAGATATCTGTCAACAGGAGAATGGAAAACAGTTCACTTTCTTATAAATTCATAATACTACTCAAAGAATACATTGACACATTCAACAATGTAGATGAATGATGTGGGATTCCCCTCTGTATGCTGTGAATATGCTTTATTACCATTGGTTAATAAAGAATTTGCTTTGGGCCTATGGCAGCACAGAATAGAGCAAGGTGGGAATCCCATGCAGAGATAAAGGAGAAAAGAAGGTGGAGTCAGGGAGACACCCTGTAGCCGCCAAAGGCAACAGATGCCTGGGAACCTTACTGGTAGGCCACAAGCCTTGTGGTAAAATGCAAAATAATAGGAATGGGCTAATTTAAGATGTAAGAGTTAGTTAAAAGAAGCCTGAGCAAATAAGCCAAACAGTGTTGTAATGAATATAGTTTTGTGTGATTATTTCATGTGTGGGAGGCCAGGAAATGAATAAGCAGCTTCTGCCTACAGATGAACCCAAATACCTGGACTAAAAGAAGATAGGCTTTTAAAAATTAGAAAAGGCTCTCCCCTCAAGCAATCTTTAGTGACAAAAATCAGATCAGTGGCTGCTGAGAGAATGGTGTGAGGTGAGAAACACTGCGGTGACCAAGTGGGGACTAGAAGTGGCGAACACATGTCTGGCATGCATGAAACCTTGGTTCAGACTCAAGCACCACCCCTCAGAACCTTTGAAGAGGTAGAAAGAAATTTTTTAGGGTGCTGGCTATGTTTGTTGTCTTAGTTGATGATTTCATGGACATGAATATAATGTGAAGACTTTTCAAATTGTATACATTGCCCATATGTAGTTTACTGTTGGTCAACTATACTTCAGTAAAGTTATGGGAAAAGATATAGCTAGATTATTATTATTATTATTATTATTATTATTTTATGGGTTTTTAAGACAAGGTTTCAAGACAGCTCCTGGCTGTCCTGGAACTTAATCTGTAGACCAGGGTGGTCTCAAATTCACAGAGATTTGCCTGCCTCTGCCTCCATGAGTGCTGGGATTGAAGGAGTGCACCATTACCACCTGACTGCAAGTTTATTTTGAAAGACTAATTGTTGTGTCTTACTGAGCATGGTAGTCAGAAAAATCACTCTATATAGACTGTATAAAGAAAATCTTAAGTAGGGCCAGTATCCTTTTTATAGTAAGTACAGCAAAGATTGGAATAAAGAAGAGATTACAGGACCAAGATAGCATAAGGTGATAATTAAAATAGTACCATCAATGACAAGTCTAGACAGTTACTGCTTAGCGCAACAGCTTTCTTCTTAACTTCACATAAGTATGGCGAATTAACTAGAATACAAAACAAGACCACTCTCTTATCAGTAAGTGCTACCGGAAACATATATTAGTCCCTGTACTATTGCTGTGAAGAGACGTCATGACCTTGTGCAACTTTTATGAAAGAAAGTGTTAACCAGGGGAGGAGAGCTTGATTACAGTTTCAGGGGCTCAGTCCATTGCCATCATAGCAGGGAGTGTGGTGGCATACATGGTGCTGGAGAAATATCTGAGAATTACATTGTGAGCCATAGGCTGAGAGAGAGAGAGAGAGAGAGAGAGAGAGAGAGAGACAGAGAGAGAGAGAGACAGAGACAGAGAGACAGAGAGACAGAGACGCTGGGCCTGGCATGGACTTTTGAAACCTCAAAGTCCACCCTCAGTGACACACTTTTTCTAACAAAGCCACACCTCCTAATCGTTCTAATTCTTTCAGATAGAGCCACTCCCTGGTGACCAAGCATTCAAATATCTGCGGTATGGGGCTTTCTTATCTAAATCACCACATGAGGATTGCCCACCATCTGTCATTAAATTATTCTATAGCAGGACAGGGAGACCTTTTTCTTATATATAAAAAAGTGTCAAAATGTTTGTAGGAAATCATATATAGAGAGATAATAAGTTATAGAAGAAGCAAGCCTCCAAGTTTATAAAAAAGGATTATTTTATAACGCTGTAGTTTGTGGTGAGTATTCAGATCTCCACAGCTCAGGAATTTTCCAGGGATAACCTGAGGTCGAGTGCAGTCCCAGTATATACAGTTCTGTAGTGAAGCTCAGATGCATTTGCCTTCTGAAATGTATTTCTTTCCCAGGCAGGTACGTCCGAGGTCACCAAACATCTGGACAGGACTGTGGGAAGACTGTGAGCGGCTATGGATGGCGAACATTATCAGCTTCCTGAGTGTAGGTCATGAAGCTGCGCAGTGGACAGGGCTGACTGCATTCTCTACAGAGGAGGAAGCAGAGACCCAGAGGCAGCAAGTGAGTCGCCCAAGAACTACAGAGCGAGTCGTGAAAACGGTTAGACGTCACACTTCTCAGGACCACTCTTCTGCTTTCCCGCGGTGCATGGAACTGCCTTCAGTTCTCAGTGTAGAGCAGAGAGGAGCTAGTTATCCACAGTTAAAATCCAGGGGAATGAAGGTCGCAGCAGCGCCTCTCAAACCATGGTCTTGAGAGAGGAGAATAGAGGAAGTCTATCCATCACAGCAAGAATAATGACCTTTTCCCCTGCCATGCCATGTTAAATCAGCCAGTTAGCCCCAGTGCGAGGGTCTCTGTGGAAGCTGTTTGTTGCGCACATAGCTGGAGACTTAAGTAGGATTCATAATAAGAAAAATATAACCAGAGCTACAGATCCATTCATCAGACTTTGTGGTGGTTTGAATATAATTGGCCGCCATGAGCTCATAGAGAGGGGCACTATAGGAGGTGTGGCTTTCTTGGAGTGGGTAGGGTTTTGTTGGAAAAAGTGTAAGCGAGTCACCTCAACTAAATGTTTCCTTTGGGAAAATTGCCACGGTCATGGCGCCACCTCACAGCAATAGAAGCCCTAACTAAGACAGATCTCATTTCTCAGTTCTGATTGACCCCACAAGACTCTTCCTCCACACAGATGCAAACCTCAGCTTATCCACTGAATTCTTGACATTCTGAGAGAGCATCTTTGTGTTTGGGTTTACTTGCTTGCATTGACAATCATGCAGGGGAAAATTCCTGGCAGACAAAGCCTTGCTTCCATCCAAGTTAGAATCAGGTTTGTCTCTTGTCTCTGACATTGTTTCCAATGCCTACCAGTTCCATCCACCTAAACACAAACAACAACAACTCCCCCCAAATTCCCAGATACATTATGTGTTCTCTTCATTGCAGAGGTGAGTCCATTTAAACTCGGAGAGAAAAGATCATGTTCAATAGTATTAATTTATCATAATTTATCCTTTGGTTAGTTCACAGCTGCATTCTGCAGCAAGAGAAAGCCATCAAGACAAGATTTAGGTGGGCAGGGACAGTTGGCTGTACAGAAAATATTCTTAGCACTTAATACAGATAACTAGCCTCAAGGCATGCATACATCCACTCATTCAGCATATACTTAGAGTTGCTTTGCTTTTTGAAAACAATTTACTCATTTTATATGTATGAATGTTCTGTCTGTATGCATGTCTTTGCATACATGCACCACATGCATGCCTGGTGCTCACAGATCAAAAGACAGTGTTGGAACCCCTGGGACTAGAATACCGATGGTTGTGAACTGCCATGTGGGTCCTGGGAACAGAAACTAGGTCTTCTTCAAGAACAGATGATGCTCTTAATACCAAGCCATCCCTCCAGCCCTCTGAGAGCTTTCGTTGTATGTGGTACCTCCATGTATCTGCACACACGTTAGGAAAGGAAGGAAGGATAATGTGTGTAATTATAATAACGCAAGGTGGCGTATGCTAGCACGGCAGCAGGAGCAAGCTGCACTGGAGCAGGGAGGACTCATTCATTGCTGTGGTAGCGGACAGTCTTCTAAATCAGCTCCCCAAGCTCCCTGCTTCCTGGCGTGCACACACTTGGATAAGCCTCTCCTTCTAAGCATGAACTGGCCACAGAGTCTGAAAGATTATGACTGCGTCTACTCTTGCTCTAGCTTTCTGGCTCTCCCCTCGCTGCCTCTCATGGGAACTCTGAAGCAGACTGGGATGCAGGACCTGAGTTCCAAGCAAAGGACTACTGTGCGTGAACTTGACTGTGCAATCCTCTTCTCACAGCTGTGCCGATGCCTGAGCAGAGAGGAAGGCTTCGCTCTGGCTCGGTTTGAAAGCTCATCACAGTGGGAAGACACAGTGGTGGGAAACTGAGTCCATGCCAGCAGGAGCATCAGCCGGCTGGCTCATGTCGCTATGGTTCAGGAAGCAAAGAGAGGGCAGCAAGTAGGGCTGGGTTACAAACCTTAAGGCCCACTCCCAGACCTATTTCCTCTAGGTAAAACCTAACTCTCAAAAGTCCACAAGACCCCAGAACGGCAGAATCAGGGGGAGACCAAATGTTCAACTACACAAGCCCGTGAGAGGTATTTCACACTAAAATCATGACACTGACCAGCTTAAATGAGACCATTTGAAACAAAGACAGCCCACAGGGTGACATATATACTCCTGTGTCCATTATGGATTATGATGTAATTTAATTTTTACACAAGCGTATTCCTATGGAAATAAAGGAACAGAGGAACTTTCTAAATGCTTTATTTGGGGTACAATAGTTCTTAACGTCTCAGGTTCTCCTTGCTGGGAAGATGAGAGCTGGTAATATGTTTGTTAAAGGCACGCAAAGATATGTGTTGATGTGTAGAGGTAAGAATACACTTTCAAATACATTATTAATAAATTAAGGTTGTAGTAGTTGTTGTATTAGAGAAAATAAATGGATTAGTCTTAGCAACAAAAAGTTAGTTTGAAGTAGATAAGCTAGGGGCATCAAAGCAGAAAAAACATTAGCTTCAGACAACACCCCACTATACACAACTCTCTGACGAACAATATGCAACTACAGAATGTCATACCTCACCTAGCACCTGACATCTTCAGTCCCCAAATCTGAAAACCAAACTTTTACCAAGTCTGAAACTGTTTAGAAGTCAACATGATGCCCCAAGGGGACAATGCCACACTGGGAATCTTTATCTCGCGTGCAAAGTTATTTTTAAAATGTTGTATGAAATTACTTCCAGGCTGGGTGTACGGGTGTACGTGAAACATAAATAGATCTCATAATCAGACTGGGTCTTCTAATATATCATTATGTAGATGCAAGTGTGGCAGACTTCAAACATAATCTGAAATTCTTAACACTGTTGGTATCAAGCATTCAGGTAAAAGGTTCTCAGGCTGTAGCAGATCATCTGACTTTTCTTTTGAAACTTTATGACCTTTAAACATAGTTGTTTTTTCAGAATGGGTTCTGTAACAGCTAAACATGGAAATGTGCGTTTTTGTTTCTTTCATTCTGTGTTTGTAAGGGTGGGTGGGTTCTGGTATTGGACCGGGAGCTTTGTGCATGCCAGGCAAAGGCTCTACCACAGACATCTCCACCCCCGTGCCCCTCTGGTTTTGGTTTCTTACAAAAGTGTATTTGTTTATAGAGAACAGCAGCAACCAAAGAGAGATAAGAAAGCGTTTCTGTGTTCTAAGACCTGATTCGGGTCTGTGGAGCGGCTCCGGGCCCCAGGTTTTATTTACAGTCTGCCGACAAGGCTGCTATCAGTACCCAGCTTCCCTGCTAGTGCTCTGTTTATTTGGGGTTCCCAAAGATTAGGTCTCAAGTCACCTGGCTCTCCATGACCTCCTGTATCTTTCCTTATTTTACTTGTGCCTCGTATTTCCCTGTAGGAAGATTTTGGACTATGGGGCTGCCAGTGTCTCAGGGACTCCAGCCTTCACCTGGTGTCCGGCAGCCTGGAGGCCTGTGTATGAATGTGAGCTGAGGAGCTGTTTTAGGGCCTGGCACTTTGAAAGCTCCCTCTCTGTGTGTCTGGGAGACAGACAGGCTAGGGAGGCTGTGGAAAGGTTGGAGGTAGGAGAGTGGAGTCCAGAGAAGATTGCAGTAAGGAGAGGCCTCCGTATGGAGGACTCCACAGTCTTTTACTATCTAGGAACCAACAATAGTTTGCTTTTTTGGTTGCCTGGCAAGAAACTTGCCTCAGGTGGAGCTTCTCAGCTCTCCCTCCTCTAAACTTCAGCTTCTAAGCACCGCACAGTAGTTCTGGGTGGACTTTTGGGCTCCTCTGGGTTTTTATCAGTTTTCTTTGATTCTTCATTAGAGTTGATGTCATCGGCTTTCTCTTCCTTTACAACCTTGGTTTCGATCATTTCCTTCTTTGGACTCTTGTTTGTGAAAGGGAAGGCCTTCACATACCTGTCGGTGCAGACATTTATCACAATGAGAGACTTCAGGTGACACACATCACAGCAAATAGCACTCTGTCTACCACAGGACAGGCTGGTACAGCCCCCTAGGCATTTTTATTTTGATGTTAATACAGGCATACTTGAATATATCACTCATCCATATTAGTGGGTTCATTCATGTGGGATAGTACCTACAGGACCAACTCTGGATGTCTTCCCAACTCCTTCATCCCAGACGAAGACCCCCAACTCAAATTCAGCCTAAGATTTTCCCCAGTGTTGACCTATCCTTTTTCATTTCTTCAGCTTGGTGCCCATTAATCAATATCTACTGTATATCTAGATGACGTACTTGTGCTGAGGTCACAGGGTAGGGAGGTCTGAGAGGGGTTGCCGTCTCCATTTTGACCAAATGCCAGTAACAACTCTGGAAGAGTACAAGCGAGGTGCAAAGATCACAAGATCAGAGATGTGCCAACAGACTCACCTTTTCACGTAGCAGACCGCCAGGACAGCTGCGGCGCCAAAGAAGAGGAGGGCCAGCACCAGCAGGGTTGTGGGGACACCTGGGAGGAGACAGGCTTGTCGGTCTTGGGCCTGCACACCGTGTTGTCTGTGCACGCAATGACTGCTTTTTACATGTGACCCGGATAAAAGAGTGCAGAAGCCCCTTCTCTGTGACTGTTTTTAATCATACACATAGAATTTTATTTTTCACATTGTGTATGTGTCTGTAGGTGTGTGTGTACGTGTGTGTGTGGTATGTGTGTACATATGTGTGTGTATGTGTGTGTGTTGGTGGGTGCGTGTAGACTCTAACACAACACCATCCACATGTGCAGGTCAAAGGACAGCTAGTTGGAGTCAGTTCTTCCATTGTGTGGGTCCCGGGAATTGAATTTATGTCACTGGGCTTTGGCAGGAGGTGCCTTCCCCCACCCAGTCCTCTCACCAGCCCTCTGCTTACAATGTGGGGAGTTCTTTACTTCTCCTTTATCCCTGCAATGTGGAAAAAGGTAGAACTTGTTTCTTGGAGCCCCAAGACCAGTCTCACAGGTCCTTGTGAGAAACAGGCATTTGGGTTAAAGTCATAGGCCATGTAGGTATATGTTTCAGGGTCTATAGTAAAAGATAATTTATTTGTAAAAAACAGTAAAGCTTTTTTATGCTCATGATGTGTGACCTGACCCTTGAGGCTTTTTTCACAGCCAGTGCTATGGAAGCGGAGTTTGCGCTAAGCTTTTGATTTGTGCCCAGTAGGTGCTGGGTGCTTGGCACGGGGACGAGCTGGATGTTGTGTATGTTTGCCACACACAGTTGCCTGCCCAATAGACCCAGAAGACATTCACCTCCAAAGCCAACTGCTTCGTTCTTGAAGGCCGTTTCTCTTATAACAGGTGACTCTGTTTCTGCAGCTACGGTGTTAGGTTCTGTATAAACTTCCGTCACACAAATCTTTTTTGTCTTCCGTACCATGGAGGTGGAAGGTGGAGCCCGAGTGGTAGCAGGAACATGAGTTGTGGAGTCCGGAGATGAAGCCGAGTCGGTGCTGCTACTGACAGGGAACTCCACTGCGGGTGTTTGAGTGTCAAGCATGGGGTCGAATGTGGTGATGGTTTCCGGAATGCACGAGTTAACCCAGGTGTCTGTTGGGAGAAGGAAAAGAAGTAAGCGCGGCAGCAGGACTCCACCAGGCTCCTCACTGCAGCCAGAACTCAGGTCTCACCAAGATTCAAATCTAATCTTAAGGTCGTTCCTTAGTACCTGCAGCACCCACCTCCCCTGGACGGTCGAGGAGGCCTTTGGTGATCCAGCCACGCTGACAGCATGGGGCTAGGAGACTCAAAAGCTCGAGTTCTCTCTCAATGGTCCCACTGTCCAGCTAGCCCTTCAGTTCTAGTTACAGTTTCTTAATCTCCCTGGCTTTCTCATGATACCTTTTCCATCTTTAAAACCTCTGTCTGATTCATAGACAAAATTTACTTGCTCAATCAGTTAGGAAGCGGCAGGGCTGCACAATATCTTACAACACAAATTGACATTTTAAACCCTGGTTATTTATTGCACTGGATGTCACTGGCCAGGACTGCAGTTATGCAAGAAATTATTTCAGTAAGTTGATTTTATTTTGAAAATTAAATTTTGTTTCCTTAGTCATTTCCCCCCCAGGCTCCAGACTTCTCTAGACTGGGTCTTTAGACACATATTCTGGTCCTTGCCTGATCATATCCTGATTCCCATCATTTTGTTCCCCTCTGGAATGACTGTGAACTGCCGCAGCAGGACATTTGTCTGATTGGATTATTGTGCCTGGCATGCAGTACATGCTCAGTGAATGTCTGATAAAGAAGAAATAAAGAAAGGAACAAATGAAAGAGAGAAGGAGTAACTTGAGGGGGTGGGAGACCTACAATATCACTTAGAACAGGATCTAAAATAAAATCAGTGATGAGAGAGAGAGAGAAAGAGAGAGAGAGAGAGAGAGAGAGAGAGAGAGAGAGAAGGAGGAGGAGGAGGAGGAGGAGGAGGAGGAGGAGGAGGAGGAGGAGGAAGAGGAGACTGGTGTTTCCCAACTCTGTAGAGTTTCGAGGAAACACATCTGTCTGTCTTCTCCTAACTCTGGGTCCGCCATGGATCAGATGTTTAGCTATCTCGGGTAGCCTTTATCAAGCCTTCATGTATACAGGAAGATGCTGAAGTTCATAGACATCAAATTTACTTCCTCAATCAGTTTGGAAGCGGCAGGGCTGCACAATATCTTACAACACAAATGGACATCTGTTTTAAACCCTGGTTATTTATAGCCCTGGGTGCCACTGGCCAGAACTGCAGCTATGCAAGAAATTGTTTCAGTAAGTTGATTTGATTTTGAGGATGGAATGCGTCGCTAGTTGAGGTCATGAGTACTACACACGCATCAAGTCGCTATTGTTTCCTATTCGTGGTGCTTTGCAAACAGCTCTGCTCAAATAGATATCATTGCTGGTTTCGTTGCCTTGCGCTTCCCTCTCTTTCCTAGGCTCATCCCTCAGAAAATGGACATTTTTTGTTAAAGCGAGAGTAGAAAACCCAGAAACAATAGACACTGTTGGGTTCTAAACCACAGGGATACATAAAGTACAGTTCCTGCTTCTGCCCAGAGGAACTTGGGTGGAGTGTGGAGGTCTAATGGCGTCCATTCCACAGCTACTTATGGGCACCATCTCCATGCCAGGTGCCTGTTCTTAAAAAGCTTCTGATCCGTTGGAAGAATGGAGATAATAAAGGATAAATAACCCATGAATTTCAGGAGACTATAAACAGTGAAAAGAAACAGGGTGTGGGTTAAACTGGCAAAGGTGGAGATGAAGGAAGTCTCCCGGACGACAGTACTTAACCTGAGACCCAGCAGCTCAAAGTAGCCAGTTGCTAGAGATCTAGGACAGACACAGGAAGGAAACAAAAAATCCCAGAGTGAGAACATGACTGCGCTGAACCTGCTCAGTGAACAAGAAGGCCAGTGTGGCTCAAGTAGAGCAGAACTCGTCTACAGGGAGAGAACAGGATGTCCTGGTCAGCAGGACGTGCATGATCCAAGAATAGTCGGGTCAGGAGAATGACAAGGAGCATCGTGTGGCCCCAGAGATGGCGTGAGTGTGCCCAGGAGGGAAAAGCCTGCAAACAGGAGGCAGGGCTGGAGAGATAGATCTGACCAGGGTATCAAGACTGCTGGTTACCCTGTTAAAGGGCTTGGGATTTACTCTGCAGGAAAGGACATTTCTTACAGGGGTCCACAACCCTTTTTAACCATATTTAAGAGTTTTCATGTGTATCTACTTTTATATGCAAAAGACATCACATGCTACATACTACATTATACAGGAAGACACCTAAGACTGTAGGGCAAACAGAAGAGTAATGATTACCAAATGGATGAGGTAGGGAAGGGGCCAGATGCAGAATGAGAGAGGACCTCCAGGGGCTGGAGAGGGGTCTCGCAAATTGTGCAGAATAGGAGAATCTAGAAATGTCTAGTTCCTAAAACTTAAAAAGTTCCCCAATAGAAGATGGGCTGAATAAGTCACTATACAAACAGCCACTGGAGTACATTAAAAACACAGCCATTAAAAATCAGAGACCTCTCTGTGAGACAGTCCAGCTAATTTCCAGGCTGTAAGTGGAAAAAGTCATTCACAGAGCAGTGTGTGGTATTCCAGCTTCTTTTCTGTGGGAAAAGTAAACAATAGCCCACAGACCTTTCTATATGCCCAAAACAAAGGCACAGACCAGAAATAAATATGCCAAAAAGACTAGGAGGAAGACCTCCCTCACTATTTTGGACCATTGCAGCATGTTGATGTATGTATTTGAGAAATTTTAAATAATAAAATCTGTACCCCATAACAGACCACAAACAGAAGCAAATAAACCTCTTCCATTTCAAACGAGGGTGGGTTTTGTCCAGTCACTTCTGTGTGAAGTTCCCTGATCACCTGTCCTAGCAGGACTTTCTTCCAGGGGATGGTGAAGAAATCCTCAGTTTTACTCAATAGATTTATCTCCTTAGATACTGGCGTTGCTCTTTTGAATGTTGTAGCACAGAAAAAAATGTGCTGTCTGCTGAGAACTGAGATAGTGGGTGTAGGAGGAGGTAGAAAAGGCAAAATCAGAAAAGCGAATTACTAAATTGGAGTTGAAACTCTCTTTCTCTCCCCCCACCCTTGCTGAGACTCAATAAAAACACCATTAGTAATGAGCATAATTTTCATGCAGATCTCGGTTCTGGTTAGCATCTTGCACTCAGAAGAACCAGAGGGCCGCAGAGGAATGAGCTGTTCTCCCCGCAGGAGCGGAGAGGATACAAAGTGAGCCTGGGCCTGTCCACTGCTGGGAAGCAGTAGTGACTCTCAGGACTCCCACATACCAGGTTTGGAACATGCACAGGACTTAAACAATAAGCATAAAACTTGTTGTAATATGCTTGTAATAAATCAAGTGTCACATGCCTGTGGTAGTATAAGGTGGAGAAAGTGTGTGTATACATGCATGCATGTGTGTGTTGTGGGAGGGGCTAGCTGATAGATGTGGAGAGGAGGAATGACTTAGAAAAACCCTACTCTGTAGACTGCTATGTGATAACCGTTTTCAGCAAGGACCACAGTGGTGGTTTGGAGTGGGGATATCTGCATGGCACTGAAATACCATCTGCTAGATTACCCACTAACTACAAAGGAGAAAATGGGCCTCCTCATTTTATTTTCCATCTGCTAATCACTGCCTTACCCCAATAATCAAAGTTGGAGCGATCAATACCGGGCACTACTGGCTGTTTGCTCTCATGTGACCCCAGCTACACAACACCACCTACACCAACAATTGAAACCTCTTGACCTTTCAGGGTGTAGGAAATAACAGGGGCTGAGAGGACAACGTAAAGGAAGCAGGAGGAAATAGGCACATCTGAGTCCCCTTCCTCTCCTCTGTTTAGTCGGAGGGATTGGTATCATAGCACTGTGTGGCCAGCAGGTGGGGAAGCAGCTAGGAGGCAGGGCCAGCTCCTAGGAATGGTGGCAGTAAGATAAGCCACACACAGACCACTAGTTCTCTGGCTAAGACAGGCTGGGGGGACAGAGAAGGATGGAGCCAAGCCATCATGTCAGAAGGAGAGTCAGCGGGAAGTCTAAGCCCTCACCCCAACACACACACACACACACACACACACACACTGAACTATTGGTGAAGGCAGGGACCAGGACGGGTGTCTCTAAGAGCCCTTCTTATGTCAAAATCCTTTTGTTCAGAGAACTGCTTGGAATTCCTGGATTCAATTTTGCTGAAGTTGGCTGGTGAGCTTTACTTTTCTCTCTGATCTTACAAATTAATATTGACATCTGTCTGTGTATATACAATCACTCGCTATCTGACCTTCAGAAAGTTGGACACATGTGAAGAGTAGTGAGTCAAGCAGCCTTCTTACGACACAGAGAACAGCAAAGTATTTTTTGAGAAATGGTCTGAGAAATGACTTAGGAAAACCATTAGGTTAGGGCAACCAAGGCCTGTGGGCAAGCCCGTCAGGATGGCTGCAAACCATGAGCTCTACTCTCTAAGTTTCAACTTCTTCCTTCCAAAGAGCGAGATTGGGCCTTGTTTTCAAGATGTCAGGTGCAGCGTGTGAGTTCTGTGTGTCAGAGGGAAGAATGCAGTGTCAGAGCTAGAGCCAAGTTTGAACCCTTTCACTGAGACTGGACTTTGAATGTGACTCAAGTGTGTCCCCCAGGGTTTATGTGTTAGAATCCAGGGTGGCGATGCTGAGAGGCGGTGGGACCTTTAAGGGATGGAGCCTAGCTGGAGGTAGGAAAGGGTACTGAAGAAATCAGTGCGCTCTCTTGGGACCCTCGCTCTCTGGCCTCCAATCTCAGCATGTGAGCACTCTTCTCCCACACTGCCCTGCCTTAGTGATGACATGAAGTCCTCTCCATTGTCAAGTTGCTGCTGTGCCATGACCTTGACTTTCCAGAACTGTGAGCTAGCCTCCCTTGCTTTATAAACCGCTCAGGTGCAGGTCTTTTATCACAGAAATGGGGAATGTCCAGTACAGAAGCATTAGAAAAGTGGACCAATGTCCCCATAGATACATTTCCTTGTTTGAGGACTGAGGGTGATAAGGCTTCCTCGGGAAATTCAAGGTTCTTTGAGATAGCTAACCCCTCAATTGCTCGGTATGAGGGGATGCATCACACACTTCTAGACATCTGTTTCTTCCCACTTCCTGTTTATCTTTTAGGAAACCCCGGGAAGTGGAGGTGACAACCCTGAGCTTCTGGCAACGCCCTGTCCTCTGCTCTCACTCAGCCGTATCTTCTCTAACATACTCTTCTGCGGGGCACATCGCTTCCCCCAGCCTGGTCTTGGGACATTTGGAGGACCCAGACTTGTACTGTTGCTTCCGTGGCTGCTCAGGGTTGCCTGTCCCACAGGTCCCAGATTTAGAGACACCCAGAGAAGATGGGCCACGCGAAGTGGCTGTGGGTCTCACTTACCAGATGCGTTGTAACAATAGGCTCTGAACTTTTGTTTGGGGGAAGCGTTCCAAATCAGGACACCTACCCCATTCTTCCCACACTTGGGGTTTGGGAAAATCCGAGGGATCACGGAGATCTGTTCTCCAACCCACCCGTAGCTGTAGGAGAATACACATCGGTTGAGTGGCCGGAGGATAGAAGGCAGCAAGTCTACTGTTGAACAGTAACACTGGCTTTAGTGAAGCTCTTACCTGCAAGTCTCAAAGCCAGACTTCTGTGCTGCTTCCATCTGGGCCTTGCTGGCCAGCGTCAGTCCCAGCACCTGACAGGTCTCCCTAGCTTCTGTGAAATTCATCTGCGTGCTTACCTTTCTGCCCACAAGGGCGACCCCCATGTATCTGCATGCAGAAATGGAAAGCTCTGGAAGGAAATCATAAGGTCTTCAGTTTGCCTCTGGCTTTGTTCCCAGCTCTCTGACTCTGCTTTCTCACAGAGAATCATTGTCTCGACCCAGGTCTGTGAGGTTGCGGCTGGATTTAGAAATAACACCACAGGCCAGGAACATCCCACAAGGACTACCTTCTGGATTAGATGGTTGCTATGCCTGGCGGCGCCTGTAAATCTCCAGACCAAGAGCTCACTCCGCACTAAGGAACTTGCCAATCACACGAGGGCTTTAGCTATCAATCAGTTCCTGAGGCGGGGTTTAGGTGATTTAGTTGCTTCAAACATTGTCTTTTAGTCTCTTAAGGAAAGCTCTGAGGCTTTGAGGAAGACAGAATTCAGAGCTCAGGTTAACACAATAATCATTACCAGTACTCCAAAATAATGTCGCCAGGGATGCTCCTGTTTTGACAGGGCCTGGCCATGAGCTTGCTAGAAAGAATGTGAGTTCTCCATTTCAGGTCCTTTCTGGCCATTGGAGGAGAGGCTTACTCAGAAATTCCTGCAGGAGTTGGCAGGAAAACTTGCAGGGCAGGGGAACTAAATAAAGAAAGTTGAATTTGAGTGGGAGCAGGGCTTGGTATCACCTACGCTGCTCTGTAGTTCTGAGACCTTATGATTGTTATTCTAGCTTTTTGCGCTCATTTCCTTATTTGGAATTTAGAGAGTAACATCATTGACTGCACAGGTGGTGGGAGTCATGTGAATGAATTCTAACAGGACTTGACATAGCATCTGCCATACCAGGAACTAATAGATAACTGTAGCTAACAGCCCTGTCTTTGGTCTTCTAAGCAACTGGTGTACCCACCACAGACTGATCTTCCTGGAAAGGCTGAGGCAGTGGAACTTCTCAGAATAATTTTTTTCTCAAAACCTAGTGGATATGGGGGCTTCCCCCCCACACTTTAATGGAACTTGCAGACCTATACAAAATTACCAGGTTTTATTGCATTCCATTGCCTTCCTTATTCCTGTTGGGTTTTATCTTTGGAGGCCCATAAAAAAAGACAATTTTGCCTTCTAAGTAATGGCTCTGCAGGGCTCCGGAAGGGATGTCCAGCCTTCAGCCCAAGGACCTCATGATTCTGAGATAGCCTAATGGCCCCAAACTGGAAACTTACTTAAAACAGCATGAAATTTTCTTGTCAGACACATACACCCCTGTCGGGTTTTATCTGTGAAAGTCCATTTCAAATTCCCAAGCCCGGGCAAAGAACTCCTTGCTTCACCGGCTGCTACTTGGCTGTTTGAATCTTGGGGACAAGTCAATGCTTTCATCTGTGAAATTCTACCCTGTCAGGCCTTGTGTTCGGAACTAAACTAGGTAATGTGCACCTAGTCGGATCCATGGGAGGTGATGGATTATAGAATCTTCATGCTCTCCAGTTTCATTTAGAAACTCTAACACCAAGCTGGAATCTAACGGTCCACTCCTATCCTGCTTTCTGTAAGACTGCTTAGAAAACATCACAGATTGTAGGAACAGTACGCTCTTGGGACTCACACAAGGTGGAGTCAACGCCAAGTGTTAGTATTTACTACCTGCATGGATCAGACAAATCCCTTGGCTTCACTAATGTCTTTTATGGGAGAAGGACTGAGACAGAGTTTCTCTGTTTACAGCCCTAGCTGTGCTGAAACTAGCTCTTATAGACCAGGCTGGCCTCAAACTCACAGAGATCCACCTGCTTCTGCCTTCCAAGTGCTGGGATTAAAGGCATGTGCCACCACCACCCAGCCTTTTATTTCATATAGAAAATGTTTTATTGAGAGAGGAATCAAAGAACTCCATATACACTCAATTCTGAATCTCTCTCTAACAAATCCTTTAAGATGTCTCTGTCTGTGCTCACCACATCACCAGAGTTCAGTAGGAGTTCCTGCTGGCAACCAGCTACCTTTCCGCTCTTTCCAAGCATTTAACTTCCTTAGGAAAAAATTGCCATTACTGAGGATGAAGCACATAGGTAGGGTCATTATCAAAGAATGATTTTCTAAGTCTAGAGATGTGGCTTAGCTGGGAGAGCTTGCCTAGTGTGTGCAGTGCCTTCAGGTCACTCTTCACCATTGCTAAGACCGGGCATGGTGGTACAAACCTGTAATCCCAACAGTCACAAGACAAGATGAAGGCAAAAAGAATCAGGGGTTCAAACTCATTCTCAGATACATAGTGAATTTGGGCTATAAGAAACTATCTTTAAAAAAAAAAAGACTCCAAAATAACTTGTGTGACAGCAGCGTTGCAGGGGGGATGGGAATGGTCTCCGGGGGGGATTTCTAAGAGGACCAGGAGGGGCAGGAAGGGAATGGTCCCCCGGGGGGATTTCTAAGAGGATCAGGTTTATTTAAATGTGACCGTTCTGGGCATCCAGCTCCAACCTCTCATAAAAACTGTCTCCAGCAATCTATCAATCAAGCCCGAATGTCCGTTCCTGATACAGCGCCTGTCTCGGCATCTTCAGCAGAACGATTACTCCTTAATAACCCTGTTACCTCACTTGCCCAGGACTGTAATCCGTGATCTGTAGTTTCAGTGTTTCTCCTATGCAGAAAGAGGTTTCCTCATATGCTTCCCACAAACACAGAAGCCACAGAGTCCCTCCCTTCAGTGCTGCTGAGGGTAGAAATTTAAACCTGTATTTTCAGCCTATTGAATTTACTGCAAATTAAAACATTGTATTCCACTAGCAGCAGAATAACCTTGTGATTAAAGCAATTACATAGAGTAGTATAATGTGGGTGATATTTAATAAGTTACCCATTCCTCCTTAGGCTCGACATCGCTTTACATATTCACAACCCTGGCTTGCTTCTTAAATAAACCCTTTGAAATCAAAAGACTTCTCATTTTTTTATTTCAAACCATTATTATTAAAAAAAATTCCATAACCTAAATAAAATTCCAAGTGATGTAAAGGTGAGTTTAAGTCATTTTGATGAAGCTGACAATACAGCAGAAACATCTCTGGCTGAGCAACAAGACTCGTCCAATCTTCTGTTGACCTCAAGAGTCTCCCCATTCCCACCAGCCCACGGTCAAGAGCAGAGTTCCCCAGACCTTGTCTATCCTCCATTTAGAAACCTGGTAAGACACCTACCTTGTGCTAGGACAGCACCTTGGACAGGGAGCCTCGTGGTCCAAGCAGAGGCAAGAAGCAACACCAGGCTAAAGTGCTTGAGCATTGTGCAGACCCCTCAGAAGCACGGCTGCTGGTCAGCAGCAGTAAGGGAGACAGATGCTCAATCACCAGGCTGGATGGAGAGTTCTGGAAATATGTTGAGGATTTCCCTGCTTTCAGGCTTCTGATTTGTCAGAAACGCTAGAGGAAATGAGTGACATCCCTTGAACGCCCAGGCTGTACTTTGTGGATGGCTTTCTGGAACATTTAGCTAATGCTGACTCAGAAAGCACACAAATGAGGAAGGCAGATAGCACAGTGTCAGCTGCCGAAGGTTTCCCCTGATCCCATATTCCCCTGTGGGCTCCGTTCCCACACTTCACTGTGGTGGTTCTCAGAGCCCATTCATCCGTATACGCTTGCGACTGTGGCTGCCTCTAAGAAAGACGGAAGATAAATTGTGCCTCTTTCCTTCCTACAGCCAGTCATTTCCCCCCTTTCTCAGTGGCATTGCCTGGTAGTGTGTAGAGAATAAGAGTGATGCTAATTATCATAATAAATGCTCATCAAAACACCACTCATTCCTTACATGCATTGAACACATCTACATTGCTAGGAGATTCATTTTTTCCAAGAGACCAGATTCATAAAGTCTCATTTGGGGTCCAAACAGTGGCTCAACAGTCAAGAGCACTTGTTGCCCTGCCAGAGGATCTGAGTTTGGATCCCAGAACTCACACTGGGCAGTTCATAAGCATCTGTAATTCCAACTCCAGGGTATTTGATGCCATCTCCTGACTCCGCAGGTACCCACACTCATCGCACATACCGACTCACAAGATGTATGCATACATACTAATAAATCATTCTTAAAACTCATACTTCTAAAACACAAATAACATAATTAAACATTTTGCACCCTACAAAAGGAGCTTTGATTTGCATAACAGTTATCATCACGGGGATTATTTATTTATTTATTCATTTTTTTTTATTTTGGTTTTTCAAGATAGGTTTTCTCTGTGTATCCTTAGCTGTCCTGGAACTCATTCTGTAGTCCATGTGGGCCTCGGACTCAGAGATTCGCCTGCCCCTGCCTCCCGAATGCTGGGATTAAAGGTGTGCGCCACCACCACCCAGATTATTGTGCCGCACTTTACTTAGTAACTTCTGCTCTATTCTGGTAGAACTCAATTCAGTCTCCACCTTCTTCATCTGAAGTATATGGACAATATCCACACTGTGTTCAGTCAGAATGCACTTGACATTTCCAAACTGGATTTTCAGTGGTTCATCTTCTTCAATAATTATAGTTAGAGTTTTTGAGTAATGCCTTGAGCAAAGGTCTGGGAGTTTTCTCCAAAATAAGTGTCCTTTATGGGAGTGGTATTGCCTATTTAAAGATTTATTATACTATTTTTAAGTTAATGCTTATGTGTGTGCCCATATGTAGGTATGTGCACATGAATGCAGAGACCCAGGCAGGTCAAAAGAGGGCGCTAGATCCCAATTACAGTATAACTGCCCATCATGGTGCTAGGAGCTGAATTCGGGTCCTCTGCAAGAACAGAACTTATTTTTAAATACTTAGCCATCTATCCAGACTGAGTGTTGCTTGTTTAATTTAACACATGTAATCACAAGGATAATTAGTTCTAATTAATTGGTATGGGTAACAAATTTAGACATATGTGCAGAAAATTCCAGTAATGAAAACCTGTTCTTCGCAAACACTGAGAGCTTCTAAGAGACAGGGAAGTAGCCCCTGAATATAGCCAGCGTGAACTCCTTACTTATCTGTGCATAAGCCCAGGGCATTGCATAAACATAGCAACTCTAGCACTGAAGTTTGAGAAAGAGGTAGGAAAGTGTCCTTCTGTAATTGTCTGTAATGCTTGGCATCATGATAGAAAGAATAAATCATCAGAAGGGATGGCAGAAAGGGAAAATTTGCTGTAGAAGACAGAGCATGTGACACCGACTTCCATAAACAAAGGGACAGACAGGGACTTCTTGGATAAAGAGGGTATGAATGTTTGTACTAGGGCTAAGCAGGAAACAATTTGTTAATGATCTGGGTAAGAGAAGAATTTAGCCATTGTTAGAATATGATTGGGAATAAATATTATTTTCAAGACAGGTTCTTACTAAGTACTAAAGCTAGCCTGGATCTTTTTTTTAAGAATGAACAATTTTATACATGTATATGATGTATTTTGATATTCACCCATTGCTCTCTCTTCTTATCTCCTGCCTTCTCCTTCCCAACTCCCTCTTCTCAGCAAATCCCCCTCCTTCGCTGCCTACTTCCTATAGTCCGGCGTTTAACTAAGATAGTTTCCATGTGCACGGATGTGGAGTTGTTCCCTGTAGCTTGGGCATCTTAGTAGCGGCTACATTCCTGAAGAGAAATGACGCCTTCTTCCCTGGCAGCCAGTTCTGGCCAGCAGCTGCTCATGAACACCTTCCGGGCGTGATGGGGTGCGGATGGTCGCGTTTGGGTCCAGGTGGCCACAGCTGCTGTGTTTCACGACTGAGAAAGCCACATCATGCCCCAGAGACCACACTCCACAGCACTCCTTCTCACCCTAGAGCTCTGCGGCCTTCCTGCTCTGTCTCCTTCCTGTATTCCCCGAGTCTTGGTGTGGAATGGCATAACGTTCTCTTTAGGTCTGAGTACTCAGCATGCATTCTCAGCATCCTGAGACTATGTGCTAACTGTCTCCTCCCGAAAGGGAGCGTCTCTGCCCGAGGTTAGCAGTAATCTTACTAACACTAGCTAGACAGTGGTGGTGCACTCGATTGGCGTTCGCCGTTTCCCCGGGTTAGAATATACTCAATATCGACTTCTAACCCTCTCCATGTGAGAAGCTTTGTTGCAAGGAACTACTCTGGTTTCCTTTCTGTCGCTGTGACGAAACACTGAGAAAAAAACAGCGTGGTGAGGAAGGTATTTATTTCATCTTACATGGTCCCAGCCCATCACTGAGGGAAGCCAGGGCAGGAACTGGAGGCAGGAACCTGGGGCAGGAGCTGAAACAGAGGCAATAGAGGCACGCTGCTTTACAATGTCTGAGAATGATTGGGATGAGGAAACGCAGCCCTTCTAAGTAACAGCTGCTGGGATCGCCAAGAGAACCACAATGGGAGGAGAAATGTGTACAATTAGACCCTGTGAAATTAAATGAAGTGATTATCCATTGAACGCCAAAGGGCAGCAGCAGATGTGAAATGTGCAAGCCAGGGTCACTCCATGGTTATAAAACCAGGAGTAAAAGTTCATAGGTCACCAGACCACAGATTGCCATAGCTGGACCCAACGTCAAAGACAGAGCTTAATTCCGAGATCACGGGCTTTGATCGGAAGAAGATTTGAGTTGTCTTCTAAATTCAACACTTGCAATTGAAATACAGTAGAGGTTTTGAAAAGTGACAGCACAGAAATACAGTGCAGATACTGGGCTGAGGACAGTGTCCGGACCTGGGTTTAAATCTTACTAACACTAGCTAGACAGTGGTGGTGCACGCCTTTAACCCCGGAACTCAGGAAGCAGACAGGTCTCTGCGAGATGGAGACCAGCCTGGTCTACAGAACGAGTTCCAGGACAGGCTACAACGCTACACAGAGAAACCCTGTCTCAAAAACAAACAAACAAAAAATCTTACTAACACCAATAATCCATGTGTCCTTGAGCATGTTTTAAGAAGCACTTGAACTCCCTGGGCCCCAGTTTCATTGCCTGTCATAGGAGAGAGCTGCATGAACTTAGAAATAATAGTGGTTCTATGGCAAGAATTCGGGTTATTCTTAAGAAACGTACAGGTGGGCTGGGTGGTGGCGCACACCTTTAATCTCAGCACCTTTAATCAGCAGAGGCAGGCAGATCTCTGCGTACAAGGCCAGCCTGGTCTATAGAGTGAGTTCTGGGACAGCCAGGATTACACCAAGAAACCTTGTCTCCAAAAAAGGTGAAGAAAGAAAGAAACATACAGGTAGGCAAGTGTATTAGTCACTGTAGTCTAACTACTGCAACCAACAACTCCACAACTCAACGGCACACTTGAAATGTCCCTGGTATTGCAATGACTGACAGGTGCTGACGGCAGTAATAGTGAGTGTGTACAATGAGGAATCCACAGCATGATGTTTTCACAGACTGAAGCTGTTTCCATCTGTCTCCCGTGGCACTCCTGCCTTCTAATCTCTCTGAGTTCCCTTCCAAGATCTTCACAGTGAACCAGCAGGTGTAGATAACGGTGCTAAAGATTGCTTTTGAGGCTAAGCCTGGAATAGATCACTCCTGTTCATAGTTGAGCAATCAGAACTTAGTCACATGTTCCCATCTAACCTGATTAAGAAGTTTTAATTCAGGTATGTACCCAAGAGTAAAAAAGAAAAATGACTTGGTGAACATGGAAAGGTCTGGGCTTGAGAGTCCCTGCCTGGCCACCCAGTATGGGGCTCACTATTTCCCCCTTCTGCAGAACACAATACTCTTCTCAGCGGAGACCACCCAAGGTCCTACCCTGCAGAGTTCCAGATCTCAGAGATATGCCCTGTCTTAGCTATTTTTCAATTTCTATGGTAAATCACAACCAAGGCAAGTTCTAAAAGAAAGCATTTAATAGAGGCTTATTGTTTCAGACAGTAAGTCCATGACTATCATGGTGGGAACATGGTGCTGGAGCAGTAGCTGAGAGCTTACATTCTGATCCATAGGCATGAGGCAGAGAAAGCTAACTGAAATGGCTTGGGATTTGTGAAACCTCAAAGCTTGCCCCCATAGATACATCTCTTCTAATCAGGCCGCACCTTCTAGTCCTTCCCAAACAGTTGCACCAAACTGGGGACCAAGGACTCAAACAGATGAGCTTGTGGAGGCCGTTCCCATTCAAGCCACTACATCCCCGGTATTCTGATCAGGTATACCTATGGCCATTTGCAGACTTGGACCCATGGGGACCACTCCCCAATGTACTGAGGAGGCAGGAACTGAGGATCTCAGTGAAAGTTTTTTCACTTGTCAAGGGGAAAGATGGACGTCATGGCCATCACCAGGCTAGAGCGGTTCAGGAATGCCAGAAAAATGGCGTAATGAAGATCATTGCTATGGACGGGAAGCAGTTTGAGTGTCACTCAAGTTTCTGTTGTGGTTAAACGGTTGGTCTCCG